GCTACAAGGTGCGCGCAGATCATGGAGCACAGATGCTCCTACATAAGTCTAGAGTCCAGACAAAACAGTCAAGAGAAACCCACCCGTGCCATTCTATGCAATCGATGCGTCGTATGCAGGGGGTTTCATTCTCTACTGAATTCGAGATCTCTGGAGGACGAAACCATCACGTGTACTCGTGGTGGTCTCGACATGACTCCCCCTTTCCATCTCTGCAGTTTCCTCGAGAGGATGAGATACGGGTGGTCACGTCTGCTAGTAAGTGCAAGCTTGCGCCGGGACCGTTTATGGACGCTCACGCTCACGTCTATGCTCAGGCTCGGGCTCGGGTTCGGCCACGGCTACATGACAGCGTGACTGGAATTCTGCGGCAAGGGATGAGCATGCTACACATTATCGAAAAGGGCTGTGGAACTCTGTTGAAAGCATCCGTGCCCCGGGCTATCCGCGCAAGAGTGTCGACGCCTCTCCCGAACAGCAGCTTATGTAGTGCAAGACGAGGAAAGCTGGTCAGGTGAGTGACTACGGGACCTGCCTACCGATACACCTCTGAACCCTCTCATGCCTGACATGGGTTGAATTATGGATGTGGACAAGGCTACCTACCAAGAAACAGAAGGGTAAGACGATGACCTACAGAATGGGCGCAGCGCTATCTTTCTCGATCGGAATAGGTAGAGATACATCTCTTTGCTCCTGCTCCCTTCCTCTGGGTGGATATTCTGGACGATGCTGATGCTACCATGTCCTACATACATCATACACCATACATCATCAACTTAGGGAAGAAACCCTCAGTTGGTCCATACCTGCTCGTCCAGCCGTAATCATCCAATCATGTAAAATGCCCAGGTGACTTTCATCTACTCAAATCAGAGAAAGTAGACGGCCACCCCTTTTTGGCTCCGAGAAGTCGCGACACCAGCTTTCCCACAACACCGAGTTTTGGTTTCTTCTCATTCTGCACTTCCCCCGACCGCTCTGACGTCCTTGTGTTGGCCCGTTTCCTCTTCCCTGTCGACGGCGGTGTTGGAGGTGTGAGTACACCGGTGTCGCGTGGCAGTGCCGACAATGTATTGTTATCTTCACATCTGGTGCCGTCAATCCCTTTGGTAAGGGGTTGATCTAGCGTCATCGTTCGGGATGTTATTCTGGGTTGACCTGGAGGGGACATATTCGTGCTGGGGCGTTTGTGTAGCTTTGATGATCGCGGTGCGAGACTGCTCTTGTCTATGCTCAATTTGTTGACACTTGGACGATTTTGCCGGTACTGCCGATTTGCTTCACGTGTTTCGTCGTGCTGCAAGTTGGAAAGACCATTTGTTGTCATTTGACGCCGAGTCCGAACGTTTCTCCTGCGAACTTGTACATTGGCTTCCGCGATGAAACGTTCGGCGGCACGAAGATCCGAGAAGCTTTTCTTAATACGCATGAGCGGTGAACGGTAGCTCTTGTGGTCGTCCTCGTCGTCCCAATCGATATAAGACACTTCCTTCTGTCTTTCAAACGCGTGAGGCAAATGGCTCGTTGTAGCCCCCAATCCAGAATGCGGGATATGTCGCGGTGGCCCAAGATTCGAACCACTTGACGGATTTGTGGGCTGAAGTGCCCAACAGAGCGGATCCTCTTGATACAGAAGAGGTCTGGATAGTGGCGGTTTAATGCCATGGGCGCGAGAGTCGATGCTGGTTTCGTATTTTCCCTTGGAAGATGCCATGGCATTGTCAGAATCCTGCGGCAGAAGACTCTCAAAGTAGTTTTGTGAAGAGTCGACAGCTGTGCAGGGAGACCTATCAGAGATGGCAAACGACGAGCGAGATTGACATGAAGTTGTCAAGGACGGGACTGGAGTGATTGGGCTTGTTGGGGGAGTCGAGAGAGTCTCCTGTTCTAGTGAGACATCTCCAATCTGTGCGGTCAATCGCTTCAACGGTTCGCTCTCCGCGGTCGAGGTCGAGTTTGTGTTGGTCTCATGACATATTGATGACCCGGTTGATATTAACCGACATTCAACCTTGCCGGTATCTGACAAAGGTCGAGTGAATCTTGGTGCTGGTGGAAGCAGACTTGTGGGACGGAGAAGAGCTTGGTGAAAGGTTCCGTTACCATACGTATTGTTCGAGGGCACCGAATGGCATTGAGGACTGTTTTTGGTGTAAATATTGTCATCGTTTGCATCTGAGTGTACCACGGACGGTTGGACAAGATTTGAGGACCACTGCGCCAACATCTCCTCAGGGTAGAGGGATGCAGACGGCACACGGCGTAGGAGTAGCGGATGAACACCACAAGGATCTGCCAAGTCATTTGGCTGAGAGCAAGAAGGGAGGCCATCAGAGTCACCCTTTCCATAGGAGTAATGTGGATTAGTATGGGGTGCGTATGTTGCCAATGGTGGAGGCATGTTTCGGATGTCGTGTTGTATATAGAGGGAGGCGTAGAGCATTCCTTGAAAGGATCCACGATGTCACATTGAGAATATATAAAGACTTCGAGCTTTTTGGTAATCACTCTTCTGACACCACGGACAGAAGTAGCTGAGGTTCAGCTACAGACGTCGGGTTGGACCGAAGGAGGAATATATGGGAAATAGGCCAGTACATCCGCGCAACAAAGGATTTCGTAAAGGATTCTGGCTGGACAGGTTCTGCACTGACCAGAAGGAGCTCAAACTGCAGTTTGAAGGAGAAGCAGCCTGGATCTCGCAGGCTGTCACATTGCCATGCACGGCCTGGAGAACGTGATCTCTCGAGATCTAGGCACAGTCAGTCTGAACAACAAGGGTGGGACCTCAATGTGGTGCGTGGGTAGGAAAAGAGCCGTTTTCCATTTGGCGAGATACCACGCAGAGGCGTCTCCAACCTCTCAACAGCAGCCCGGACCGTGGTTCTGGATTTCGAACTGGAACCGGAGGGAAGGGCTTCGAGCAGCGAAGGCGAACTGACTTTCATGTATAATTCGTCCGAGGCCCTGGCCAATGCTCTGCTCATGTGTGCTGGAAAGGTATTTGCAGTATGGTCACGCACGGCGGCCGTAGGGCCAACAAGGGGGACATCTCGATTTTGCATTATGGTGTTGTACGATCTAGGTTTGTGCCGTCTGCTTCTCGCAAGAGGCAAGCCACCTGTTCAATGATATGCTCAAAGATGCAAAATGTCAACGTTTGTGACATCAACAATACACACTGAGGACCGGGCAGCAGACGAGGACCAGTTGAGGTCAAGGGGGACAGCTTCATCAATCTAGGCACGAATTCCGTTCCGCAGTCGGGACAATTCGAGACTCCACTGCAGCATTCCCTGGCTGGACAGCAACATCAAAATATGTGAATTTGGGCTTTCCAAGGGAAAGTTGGACAGCAAGGCGGTGTTTGCTCTTGACAGGATTCCGACCGCTTGCTCCAATCTTGACCAATTCGCCGTTTATCAATAGCGAACATGAAGGAGAAGATCAGTTGGTGACGAGGCCCTTACCAATACGACCGATCTGGTGAAGGACGTGTTTCCTACCTGCTTTCCTCGAGAGGGACTAGCACCACACCCTCATGCATCCCATATCAATCTTAACAGGGCAAGAATGGGTTGCAAAAATAGTTTATACTGACGAGTTTGACATCTGGCATTGGCATTGGCATTTGCAGACAGTCCAGGTTGATGAGAAGTAACCCTGCAGCCACCAGGGAGGTAACTGGACGACGCCGGTACAAAGATAAGTCAGCTCTCACCGCAGACGATTTGGTAGTTCAAGCTTCGCAGATCAAAAGCATGGATGATCAACAGGGAAACAGGAGACGTAAGGCTCTCAGCCTCAGTGGTGGCGACAGATATCCGGGAAGCAAACGCCATCAATCATCTTGGTACTGTGGCTTTAGCTTCTGCTAGGGCACAGCGAAAGAGGGACGCAGGAATGCTTGCAGGTGTCTCGTTTGCAGGTGTGGCGATTCGTCCAGAGACATGGGATGCTGAGCCAATCCGCTTCTGAAAAAGGGCACAAGGAGGTGACAGGTCAAGCAGAACCTTTTCTGTCCCCTGGCACGCCCTGGTTCCTGGATGACTTCCTGAGAAGGGTGGTGGGGCAGAGAAACGAGGTCTTCGGATCCATCCAGCATTGTTTGTTCTCCAAGCTCTTGGCTTCAGTGTCTTTTCTCCTACGGGACTTGCTTCTTGAGAGTCGAGGAGGGCTGTCGGGAGATGAGCGGCCAGCAACGAAGGCGTTCGGGCGGTGACGATGCAAGTGAAACTGTGGCTCGTCGGACCAGGGGCTGAGAGATGCAGATGGCGGTGGCCGAAGATCGCAAGTGCTGGGATGACGATGCTGCCAGCTCATCGCTCCACATCTGGGCCTCGACGCTTTTGCGAGCTTGCGCCCAGCCTCTCCAATATCGCACCACGGCCTCACTCTACTGACTTTCCCACAACCCGTTGGGTGCCCAAACAAGAAAAAATACGGGACCATGGCAAGCACGTTGTTGAGGATAGTTCCAGGCTGCTCTTCAAGTGTCCAATCCAGACATCTGGGCTCGGACTGCCGGTAGCGATCCGCAGTCCGCCGTTTGTTCTCCCGCAGTCTGCAGTTGAACTCTTGCGACCCGCCAGATGCTTGCGATTAGCGACACATTCTCAATTACCAGTTTGAATGCTGAAATGCTTGCTATCAAGCTCTAAGACATCGCTCATGCGGATTTGGAAGCTGAAAGTCACAGATCGCGCTCATAGCTGCGCCCGTCGAGTTCGGCGCATCCGCCACCTAGAGATCTGCCAGTCTTCAACACCACACAGTCGAACGAAATTCGCTGCTTGAAGAACCCGCAAAGACAATTCCTTTGATGTCTCTACCGAGTAGTAAATTGCCTCAATTCACTCACCGATTTCGAGACGCGACTTGGCCGCACTGGTGGACACGCGACTCTACACTGGACGCTGAAGGCCCAACCTCCATGATTTTAGAAATTGACCAGCCACCAGCACAACCACGCGCACTTCTTCCACCTCACCACGTCAATGCCTCCGTTACAGTTACTGTTCACACCCTCTCACGTCTTGTCTGGCTCCAACCCTGTTTAGCCTTTACCCTACCACGTTCAGAGTCTATAACACAAACTCCATCGTCCTTGCGCGTCAGGCGCAGTCCCCAAATTGTCCCAGGATCCCTCTCTCACCCAGCGACCAGCTGTCGAAGTGTCGCTCCCCAGACACTCCGCCTTTGACGACCTTTACGAGTTCTACGACCCGGAACGAACCCCCGTGCCCCAACGCCATCAACAAATACCTACCCCCATCTCGCAGAGACGTCCTCATTCCACGCAATCTAGCGGTGCCCGATCGCTGCGGAGAACCCCAAGGTTACAAGAGCGACGGGCAACTGCACAGTTCCCCCTGCGTGCGAGAAGGTCCCAAGCCCTCTCTGCGACACCGCCAGTCTACTTTGACGAGTCCGGCTCTACCACCCCTAGCTTTTTCCAGCAACTGGTCTCGGACGACTCCTATCGGCCTCGGAGAACGCTTCAAATCTCTCGACATACCCACGACGCTATCCTCTTTGCCCTGGAAGCCATCAGGAGAGGTGATGGTGTTCACGCGCAGCCGTTAACTGCTGATACACTCGAAGAAGAGGCTCGAATGTCAGATTTGATAAGGGGCACTGCGCCCGGCACCGCTGCTGTATCAAGTCGAACTCAGAATGGCGGAGCAACCCGTGCGTCCGCAGCAGCTGGCACTGGTCCAACACCCACCGACCCCCCGCGGTATCGTACTCCGACGGATGTCATGCGAGAGCGCCGGGCACGAGAGGCTCGTAGAGCCGAGGAGGCCGCGGCCAGGCTACGTCAAGAGGAGGATGCCAGAAGGCTACAAGAAGAACAAGTTGTTGGCGTTGGGGAGGATATCACACGACGAACGACTACGAGGCCCGCCGCTCAGCCTCCTCAAACCTACAACATAGGTGGAGCTGTCCCTCAACCTGCTGGTCCGACGACACGGCGGCAGGAGAACATACAGCCCACCCACCCGAGCGCCTCTAGGACAACTGGTAGAGCCCCTGAAACTTCAGCGAGAGAACCGAGGGTTTCTGCGTCCACGCAGCGAAATCGCACTGAAGCCTATGAACAACTCAGCATTCCTGCCACTGCAACAGCCAAACCGCCGGAACAGATACCACGGCCCACCCAACCACCGCAGCCACAATCTCGAACACAGGCTGTTCCCCCATTTGGCTCTCAACCTGTTCAACAGCCTGTTGCTCAGCCTTCTACAGCGGCCCGAAGCCGCTTCCCCAATGCATTCGAACGCTGGGAAGATCTTTCTGCTCGATGGGAAGGCATTGTATCATCTTTCATCCATCGCATGGAAAACAATGCCGATGAATTGGCCGGGAAGCCCCTTGACCGGCAAATGGCTCGACAGATCGACGACTTGTCTCGGGCAGGCGCAAACCTGTTTCACGCGGTGGTCGAACTGCAACGCCTTCGAGCGTCGTCCGAGCGCAAGTTCCAGCGCTGGTTCTTCGAAACTCGGCACGAGCACGAACAAGCTCAAGAAAGACAAGCAGAGCTCGAGCGTCAACTGCGGGCTGAGAAAGAAGCTCGAACGCTCAGTTCCACCTCAATCGAACAGGTACGTGCAGAAAAGACGAGAGCAGAAGAGCTAGTAAAGGAGATGCGCCGCGAACTACAAATCAGCAAGGAAGAAGCTCGCCGCGCCTGGGAAGAACTAGGTCGAAGGGAGCAGGAGGAACGTGAAAGAACCAGTGCTTTACGGAGCGGAGAACCCACCCTTATTGGCGGTGTCCAAGTCGTGCCGATGCAAGGTCTGCCGAGTAGGCAGACGAGCACAGCGCAACGTCCACAAACTAGAGATGGGCCAACAGGTGGTGCAGGGCCAACAACCATGTCTGGCCAGCAACCTCAACAACGTCCTGCCTCTCGTCAAACAACAACAACTTCTCTCGACTCGCCTGGTGAAGAAGGTCGACAGTTCACATATCGTCCGGACACTGGCAACTCCTCTACCATGACCGACCCGTTCACGGAAGCATCTCGGCAGCGCGAACAACAGGGACAACAACGTCATGAGCCAGATACACAATTCTATACCAGCTCTCAGCCCACACAGCCTCCAACAAGTGGTGCTGCAATTGCTGCTGCGCGAGCTGCTGCCATCGGAGGACAGTCACCTGCGCGCATGCCTGGTGAATCGAGGTACTATCCCGTTGCCACCAGCGATGCTCAAATGTCTGGCGCTTTGCCCGCGCCAGTCCGCCAGGGTACTGGAGGGACAGAGCAGTCTTACATCCCCTCTAACGCATCATTGGCGCCATCCGAGGAAGAATACCACATCAATCCCGATGGCAGCTACACCCGAGACTCGCAAGGCCGTCGCATCCCTTATCGTCAGCCAATCGGAGCAGGCACCTCAGGTTTGACAGGCGAGATTAGTGAAGAAGAAGGTGAAATACCGGAAGAGATATCAGAGGACGACGACGACGACGATCATGCCGCGGACATCGAACGTGAGAGAATGTACGCCGCGCAGTATCGCCAACCACAGCCATCACAACAACCGCCTACCACAACCTCAGGACTCCCTCGTACTACAACAACTGCCCTGCCCCCCATCCCCCAAGGTCGGACATTGGATCCAACATCATCACCTTATGAAGGACAAGCCTACGAAACAGATGTTCCACCCGCGGTAACCCAGGCCATGACAGGCTGGGAGAGCTTACAGACTCGCAGCCACCACCATCCGACCAGGCTGAGCGACATCATCGAGGAACAGACCGCGAGAACAAGTCCAAGTCGGACAAGCTACGTTAGTGGCTCTGGTGTCTTCCCTGGTGATCTCGGACCCGGCACTGGAACTGCGGGAACAGGGGCTGGAAATGGCACGGGAAGTGCTTCTACTAGACGGTGAAGAGAAATGAAAACTTGTGCCGTCGAAACACCAAAAGGTGACAGATAAACCCGGGCTGTCCAGACTTTTCTGGACGTCGTTGGGCATCCCTTGAACCTGTTGCTAATTTTTAGAAAACATCCACGACTTTATATCGAGTCCACAAAACCGAAAAAAAAGTTCTCCAGACACTTTAATCAATGGGTGGCTTCTCAGTCTTACGCTCAATGTACAACACACAGTACAATATGGATTTAATGAATGCACATACCGAAGGTCGAAGCCATCTCAATGGGCTAATAGATTCGATGCGCTTCGTGGCGCAGGACCCGTTTTATTTCAGCTTCTTTAAGCCCTGCCGGGGGAATATCTGGAGAACGAGCTTCGAAGAAGCCGGAGGGGCTACTCAAATAGCCCACAAGTCTCTTGATGGATGAGACAACCATTGGGTGTGCGATGAAGAGCGAGGGAATCTTCCAATGTCCTCAGCTCAAAATTGACAACGTGGAGAAAACCACAGCTTCTAAAAGGAAAAGGGAGAGAAGTTGAAAACAAGGAGCAGAAGGTGAAATGATGCGAGAGACCAAAACTTCTTTTACTGCCAGGTCAAGTTCTTTTCAGTCTTGGGTTCATAAATCTTGTTGAAGCAGTTTCCATAGCAAGCGAAGGCGCGATGGGCGAGTTGTATCATGGTCCCGATGAAGCTCTGGCAAAGATTCGCCAGTCATTATTGTGAAGCTCCTGGACCGAATACGCGGCCAAGCTTTTGAGAATGCAGAGCCACCGTTTCCAATGCTTTCAATCCAATTTCGTTCCGTTGGTACACATTCTCACACTGTCCATGTGCCATGCTCAATCGATTTGACCACTCTTAGGTTGGTTGTTGATTTCAGGTACTCCTTTCACCAGTCTCGCCGATGCACAGCGCTTCAAAGTGTGCAAGCCTCTCAGTCATTTCGCTTCTCGATGGCTAATAGCTGAACCCACACAGAAAGTTGTCATCATCAATCGGATACTCGTAAGTGCCTCCCATTTTACATCCAAGTAAACTGCCGCTTCGCGAGTGGCACAATAATTCGATTCGTGACAGCCTGTCGGATCCTCGCTGTACCTCCGACAATTGACCCTTTCAAAACGACGTCGTGCCCGAAGGGGGAAGCCAAGCGTTCGGATTGGATTCGATATACGGTTGGGTGACACACCAACAAGTCAGCTGGAAGGGGTGAAAAAGAGCTGGAGTCGGATTGCCTCCTTGATCGAAGCAAGTCATGGCGGCACAAGCCTCCCCAGTCATCTTTGCATTGTATAGGTCTGGCTCAACCAAAGCCCGAGCGTCCAGTGTTTTGTCTACATCATTAAACATGCAGCCGCAATATCCATCGGTGCCCCCGATCTTATTCATGTGGTAGAAGGGGCAAGCTCGGTCGCATCGAACGCTCCAGATCTGTCGTCTCTGGGGTTGAACGTATGCAATGTTGGCGTCAAAGCTCCGTTTACCAGCGCCCTGAGACACAGCGGTCAGAGTCAACGCTGTGCTCTGGGTCGTGTTCATCTTGTCGATGTCTGCAACCACGTTGTTTCCAAGAACTGAATAGACGCTTCCATCACTGAGTTTCTGGATCCAGTAAGTGGCAATGTTTGGATCGTACATGTTGATAGCGATGCATTGACAATCAGCAACCACCGTCTGAGGCTGTCCTTGGTTTTGATTGACCACCAAGGGGACCAAGTCAAGGTTAGGTTGAGGGTCGACAAGCCCAATCATGCCACAGGGTAAGGAAGTGCTGCAGTTGACCACAAGTGTGGTTGGTACTGGGCCATCTAATTGCAGGTAGACTTGGATGACGCCGTCTAGGAGATAAGGGACCATGGAGCCAACTATTGCCGTATTCTGAGGTTGGACACTCAAAGATTCCTGAATCAATTCTGGAGTAATGTCTTGGTTAGGCGGAGGAATGAATGTCGGGACCGCAGTATCGATTGCTGGTGCTGGACCTGTTTGTGTTTGCCGGCGGCGCAGGTCATTCACCGATCGTTCATGTCTTTCTGAAATTGAATTATAGGCTTCATCGGCCTTATCGTACCAGTCTTCCATTGTGCCGCAGTAACACGAATCTGTTATTACAGAATAGAACGTTTCTTTGCCATTTTCACATTCCAAAGTGCCACAGGGAGAGGGCAACTGAACGAAAGTCAATCAGCAAATGATACACAATCAAGCGTCATTAGAGTCTGAACTCACGGGAGACCCGGACCATACTGGGCATGAACACGAGAATGACGACAAGTCGAAGGTTGCTTCTCCAAAAAGACAGCGTTCGGACGAGCATAGTTGGTCGAGAATATTAAATATGCGGCTTCGCGGAACACCAGGAGCACTGTCAATCCTTGTCGGGGCCGACGCTGACAGCACTGAGAGCCACAACATGGCGAGAAGAGCTGATTTCATCATTTTGGCGGCCGGCGTCACGAGCTTATCACAGTCTTCGAAGTGGAGAGAGGCGGGAAGGATAAAGAATGATAGTATGGGAAGGGCAGCAAGGGATGGAGAAAAGATAGGACGATGCAGAGGTAAGAATGCGCGACAAAATTCACTAAGAAGCCAAGGTTGAAATGGAACTGCCAGACCTTGTATAGCTGTTAGACCTTCACTGCACGCACCTACCTGTTCACGAAGTGTTGGCTCCAGAAGTAATCACTGCCACTTGTTAGACCAAGAAGGAGCTCTCTTGAACGAATACGAGGCAATGGCACCTTCCAATGAGCGATGGGAAGATCATTTCAGATAGCAGGAGCGTTGCCGACGATTCTTTCTAAAGATGATATGTGTAAGTTGACATCGTTACTTTTCCAGACTCGTTCTCGGGGAACGGGATGCGGCATATCCACGAGGCTGAGCTTATCCCAAAACAAAGGCAAGGCTGGCACAACGCACTCAAACTTCCGAAAAGCAGGTTTTAAAGTGCCAAGGCGATACCAAGGCGCTAGGCCAGCTGAACGGAATGACCCTTTTTCCCGATCCGAAGTTGGAGTGGAGCACTGTGACGGGTTCTTGGCAAACGGCCTCAACGGGCAAGGCAGATTAACTGCGTCGAAAACTCTCAGACTGGCTATCGTCAAGTCAAGTCTTTGGGCATCCAAAGCAGCACTCGCTTCACACGGCTGGCACCGTACATACTATTTGCTGGCTCGAATGAATATATGTCAATGTCTCGCCTAGTTCAGGTCTTGCTTCCACTGTCATGATGTGTTTCACTCTGGTTGCTCAATTCTGTTGCGGGAGGCTGGGGATCTTCAGCGGCTTCTGCCTACACCCACCAACCACCTCACCATCATCCATGAGCACAACAAGCTCAATCCCAGCCTCACATTCAACGCTTTCTTAATTCTCCGGTCTCCTCGTTAAACTTACGTCCCTGCTTTCTTCCACCGTTGTTAACGTGCGTCTCTTGAGTTTTACCGCTCGTTTTTGGGTTTGCGCATCTTTTGCTTACTGCCCACTCCCAAAGTAATGAACTTGGTCACTGATCCAGACGCTCACCTCCAATCAGTCAAACGAACCACACCTCAATATATCAAGTCCGACTCTCTCAAGTCCTCCTCCGCCACCAACGAATACTTTTCAGACTATGCCTCCGAAGTCGCCAGTCAAAAGTCGGACGATTCCAAAGCAAGCTATGAAACGCCGCCCTCACGGATTTCTACTCCGCTACAAGTACAGCACAACCCTGTCGACTCCGAGATGACGCTTCCTTCAAGACCCGGCGCAATCCAGCCGGCTCCTCTGAATATTCGACACCACCAACCCGTAGGCGCGCAGACAACGGTGCGACTGCTATCCAGTTTCGACGAGATGAGCCCTCCGACTCCTGGGGTCGATGATACACCGTATATCCGATTCGCCATTGAGCAATTGACAAGAGATGAGGATGTCACCGGCCGAGGCAGAGACAGCACATTTCCTGCTCCGAATGCGCCTCTTCCCACACCTTCCATCAAGCCTGAGTTCGACGAAAGCCCTCGTGCGCCGACACCCTCTCCTCCTCCACCAACGCCGCCCCCGCAGCCTGCCTCGCCCCGTCCGCCCTCACAAACCAGCCTCCAAGAAGTCCTTATCCCAGTTGATCTTTCGAAAGACCTTCGTCGGCGACTTGGCTTTGTACCATTACCTCTACGACTTCCAATTCTTGGTCTATTCTTCTTTCTATGCCTTTTAATGATCGCCGCCCTGATATTCAGCCTGGTCTTCGCAGGCACGAATCACGCACTCTTCAACTATGACGGAAACACGACACCACGATACTTTGTCTTCCAGTATCTACCACAACTAGTTGGCATTCTCTTGATGCTGTGGCTTTTTGTGATTGAAGCCGCAGTGTACAGATCTCTGCCTTATTACGGCATGGGCTCAGGTCGTCGTAACCACTGGGCTTTGCAAAACATGCGAATCCTGCCAGCAAACTATCTTCTGCCGGACCTCACTTTCTTCCGCAATGGGGAGCCCTTGCTGGGTATCACATTCCTGATCTTCTGGATAACGAGCTTTACTGTACCGCTCCTCGCGTGTGTCTTCCAGACCCAGTGGATTACAGATGACGGGCCAGCACGTTTCCGATGGACCACGGTCAGAGGGGTCGGCTGGACCCTCGTGGCGCTGTACGTCCTTCTTGGCTTTGGACTCTTGTATTGCGCTTTTCGCTTTCGACGGCGGAATTCCAACTTACTCTGGGACCCTTGCTCGCTCGCCGATCTGATCTGTTTGTTCCGCAGGTCGAACGTGGGTTCCGACTTTGAGCAAACCGAGATATCACCACAGCCGAACGGCCAAATCCCACCGAGAAATCTTCGTCTGGGTTTCTTCACCACATCTGAACGACCGGAAGTATTTCATGGTGTGGGAGAGGAGTATGCGCCCGTCAAACGCCTCTCATTTCTGCCCAAGAATTCAAAAACTGTCCATGGCTTGATTGAGCAAGGTGATGTTGAAGCTCAACGGTATTCTTATGGTTCCGCGTTCTCACGCAATATCCATTCGCCATTTGTGCGATACCGGTGGACGCCCTGGTATCTCCGTGATTCATTTGTCTTGGCCTGGATTGTGGCAGCTATCCTGATGGCCATCGCCTTTTTGGTCGTCAGCTTTGTGAACAAAGCAGTCGAAGATGGCTTCCGGCCTCTACTCCCATCTCTGACGGATTCCAGTGGCTTTTCACCGGCCAACTTCCTCTACAGTTTCCTGCCAGCTTTTCTAGGTATGGTGCTGTTTCTCGCTTGGCAACCGATTGACATGTACTTCAGAGCGGTCCAGCCGTTCCGTAACCTCTCTCAACCTAATGGTGCTACGGCACGAAACTCTTTACTGCTCGCATACCCTTCCTATGGACATATCCGTGTCATTATTCGGGCCCTGGTCAATCGCGATTATAAAGTCGCATATATTACGTTCATCTCAATACTCTCGCTCTCTATCCCGGTACTGGCTGGTGGAGCGTTCACTGCAGTGTTCTTCTCCGCGGACAATCAAGTCAGGATGGTCGCCAGCATGCCCGGGTACATCGCATTATGCGTGCTGGTCACCATCTATGCGCTCTCATACCTAATAATCTGGCCAACTCGGAAGCGATACCTCCCTCACAGTATCGACACCATTGCGGCACTATTGAGTTGGCTCTATGCGAGTCCACTGCTCGGCGACGTCGCCCTGCAAAATATCGGCACAAAAGCTGAATTGGCGGAGACATTGACAGGCCCAAAAACTGCTCCAGCGTCACTGACTGGTGACACGGTGCTGGAAGAGAAAGGCCGTCGTTCAAGGCGTGCTGTCCGCCGCCTGGCTCACGACGTCGGGATGAGGTACGCCTTCGGAATCTTCGTTGGTCGGGATGGCAAGGAGCATCTTGGTATCGACCGCTTGCAGAGGCCTGGTAGCCGAGAAATGCTGGTGGTATCGACTTCGCAATAGCACTGGAAGAGCGCCGGCAGCGATGGATTAACGGCGATGTACAGTATGATGGACATGCAGATTCCGATTCTACAACGATGTGTTTGACAGTATACGACTTTTTATACTTGGATATGATGGGGTCCGCCGCCAATGTGCGGACCAGGTGCACAAAAGTACCAGAGACGATATAATGGAGATGGCTTCCTCCTCTTAGACAGAGGATGTGGAACATGGACGAGGCTAGATGGGAACAACGAAGACATGTCGGTTCACACCATAGATTTTTGTACAGATACAAACAAGATACACAGCCTTGATGCTTCAGGGTAATTCCTCCAACAGACTCCTTTTTCACGCTATTCCTCCTGTTTACCTTTTGACTTCCGTCCCGCCACCGAGTTGATACACCTAGTCCATACATCTCTTTCTGCAGAGAATGGTTGTAACCGGTATGCACATTCTGTCTCAGCTGCCACGAGCGGGACATGACAGTCGACTATTTTTGCTTGCCAGCGGCTGCGATGACGAACTCGACCACCTGCCGACCCCAAGCTTCTTCATTAAAGATTCCGGTCCCCAACCCCAAGACAGGGCTGATGTGGTTGTGGCCTTCCATCTTGAGGACTGTCAAGTCGTTGGCCACAGCGTCGGTGGCGATCCATTCCTTGACGAAATCGTTCTTCGAGGCCAGTATCTCGTCTTCCGGATCTAGTCCTCCATATAGCACCATGACCGGGATCCCTTGTAGATCACTGACAGAGCCGTCTCCCTTGCAAGCTCTTAACAGCCCTAGAGGGGAACGGTTGTAGACATCGTCCCCGAAGTACGCCTGAAGAGTCTTCGCCCTCTCTGCAGTCGCCCGATCAAAGTGAAAGGGAGCCGAGAGGAAGATGACACCTCCCAGCTTCACGTCTAGAGTATCTCCTGTGAGTACTCTCTGTCGGTGTCCTCGAAATTCAGAAGCGAAGAGATAGGTTGCCAAGTGAACACCTCCAGCCGAGTTACCCATGATGAAAAGGGTCGTGGGATGTGATGGGTCATGGTCTATATTCGCCTTGACCCAGTCAATGACCAGCTCCAAATCCTGACCCCCGGAAGGGAATGTGGCATCGTGGGAGATGAGTCTGTAATCAGGAATGACGACTTTGATCCCCAGGTTTTGGGTGAAGAAATGGCCCACGTTGGCATATACCAGACCGTCGGGCAAGGTCTGATTGATCTTGTCGCCTCGGACGAAACCTCCACCGTACAGGAAGATCAAGACAGAATTGCCCACTTTGGAAGGTGTCGTCTCGGCGGGAGTGTAGAGATCCAACTGTTGGCGCGGATGCTCTCCATACCGGAACGTCTGGCGCGGTGTTGATTTGATGATGTTGGCTTGTCTTTGCAACAATGGCGTGTAGAGCTGGTAGGTGGGCAACAAGACTTGAGCAATTGCTTTACCGAGTTGTGGTAGATCATTCATTGTGGCCTCAGTGTTTGTCAAGTGAATGATGGGCGTATGAAGCTGGCTGATGTCCGTTTGACGTCTGCGTGATGTTGTCTTTACCTGATGGCCCTCCTCCAATCGGTAGATAGAATCGGTAGAATGAATGTTGAAGCCCAACTACCGAGTGAACCCACTTACCCGGTCACTTACTTGCCATCCACGATCCCAACGTTTCCCTGCCCCCGTGTAGCACCGTCGCGTATGTGCGCGATACTCTTTCCAAGAACAGCTGGCGCTGACAATCTATGAGAAGAGGGATCCATACAACTGTGTCGCATATATATATATACATTATATATGCCCGAACTGTGCTTTGTCACTTACCATTTTGTTCTGGAAAGGGAGCCGCTTTACTCAGGCACGTGACGGAGCATCGAAGGAAGGCCGAGCGCTGCTTGATGCCCATTCGTAGAAGCCAGTTCGGGCTCAGGTGCCCATTTGGATCCTTGGCTACAGTTGCCTGGCGGTGCTCTCAGAAGCCTGCTGCCTGGCGTAGTGACGCGTCCAACCTAATCCTGAAGTTTGTGAATGACTGCATCCAGCCTTGTTGGTACCTGTGCTGGCAATGCGCCGGAGCTGGCGCACTGATATTGGCTCGAGCTGGGCCCTCAAGCTTCCTCCTCGTCCATGAAACACATAGTCAAGGCTCGGCAGTATTATCAGGTAGATGTAGGTATGCTCTCCCCTTTTGCGGGTTGCTGCCTTCTCTCCCCGCGATTTACCCAACTTTCTCAATTGCAAGGCTGTATTTGAGCACTCCAACACACGGAAGGCTTTGATCCCTAACTCAAGACTCAAGGTTTGAATATAACGGTATGTCGTCAGCATGATTGGGTATGTCACGAGTCACCGAACCTTCGGCGCATGAACAGGGTATTGCGAGAGTCGCTTCATATATGAGCGTGAAATCATGGTTGTCATGAGCGCCATCGGCCGGCATATTCGTCTCAACGATTCCAAGATGTGCTTTTCTGCTTCACCTATTGTCGACGATTAAAGGCTTCACGGAGTCTTTCGGCCCAACCGTTACGTTGTTCGAATAACCAAGGATACTGCTCCATATTCTTTATTGTTCAATCCCCTTACGACCTCCCCGTACCGGTGATGAACTGCGTCTAACTGCACGCTCTAGAAGATTGCCAACGCGTTTGGGGGTGACCCCACCAGTCCAGGGACATTCAATGGAATCGAAGTGAGAAAGAAGCTATACCGTTTGCTCTTTGCACATTGCTTGGATAAAGCTTTCAGATCCCAGAGTTCGCCGATGTGCATACCGAAGAGGGTTAGGAGGTATGGATGGAGGACTAAAACAGTCAGGCTTGCTGAGGAATGTCCGGAATATTCGAGGGGAGGAATGAGTCTCACCAGCTGGGATGTGCCTGGTGTCTTCCGCTTCGAATCCGATGTTGTCACTGGCAACTGCAGCGAAACCCTGGTTCCAAAGCCATTTTGCCGCTTCCTTGGTTTGCTCTACACCAGCCCAAGTTCTTCGAGCCATGAGTTCTTCCTGTCGATCTGCGGTGGTTTCAAACGCTTCTGTGTAGCCAGTGCGGAGGATAAAGATATCCCCTTGCTTGAAGACGAGGCCTTGGTACTTTGCTACCTCTTCAATATCGGCGACGGTGATGATATGAGGATCTAACGGGTCATAGTCGATACCCTTGGCCTCGGCATATGCTTTGTAGTCGAGAAGGACGCCACGGCCGACCAGTCCTCCTCTTTCGTGCCAGTCTATGTGCCATCACCGAAATGCCTGTTAGAAATCGAAGAAGAGTTCCTATGCTTGACTGGGACGTACGGTTGAGAGTTGGGAAAGCCATTTCAGTGTCCGCCTCTCCCCACCCCTGGGTAAGATCTTGGACAGATGGCTGGCACCCATTGTACCCCTTTGCCGATTCTTGGTGATAGAAATGGCCTAAGTTAGACCGTTAGCCGGTGCTCAGTGTATGCGACGTATATTATCTCTCACACAGACTATCCCACTGGCTGCTACACTGTGTGTTAAATTCAACCTGTACACCAATTTAGCATATAATCTTTCCATAAACACGCTAGTATGGCGAAGAGATAGGGAACAGGACCTCGTCGTCATAGCCATGAAAGTTCATAGGCGAGTCCAAGAATGAGATAACGCGGTGTTCGAGCGTCTTGCGATCGGCAACAGGCTTCTTGACAGCACCCATCGGCCAACTGAATGAATGGTTAAGCTCACCACGTCGATCATATAGAGTGAGGAGAAGGTACCGACTTTAGTGAGATACTAACACCCTCCTTGATGTCCGAGGCCGCCGTAAGTATAGCCTCAGGCGTGATCTTGTTGAGACAACCAAATACATCCTTTTTCCCGCCCTTATCGAAAACGCCCCAGGCACACCCAGCTGGCATATCCTTCACCGGGGGTAGGTTATCAAAATCCGGGAAAGAGGCACCCATTTTCTTAACTTTAACTATACAGGAAGTAACGCGCGAAGCCTGTTATATGACAGTCAAGAGTCAACACACGTATTCGAAGGGATCGGCAATGCACTAATGGTGGCAGATTTTCTCTAGATGTCCCAGATACTGGTGCATATGTACAAGTGTTTTCTTCCAGCACAGATGGAGACTTTAGCAAACTCACTCCATTCCCGGCGATCTGATACTCCCTCGGATGTGGGGATATTCCTTGGCCCAGGGCAATATAGATCCGGCGAAGGGGGCCATTCGCCGAAGAAGTCGGCACAGCATTCAACTAGTGTACTTGGGAAGACAGTAGCCCGGCTACTCGTCCTTTGCCCCAGAAGATACGAGTTTACAGTAGAGCATTGGTAAATTGGTCCAAGATCTGTTAACTTTGATAGTCTTTGTAGAGGAAGAAAATGTAAAGCAGCAAGCGAGTTACGTGGAATCAGGCACTGGCAGTACACAGAGTCAGTTTTGTGCCCAAAATTTCCTTATCCTTCCTCTTCACAACGTCTAGCGCCGCCGTTGGTCGTGGCGTCAAGAATCTCGCCCGAGACGTTTGCCGGGCTCGGAAGGAGAAAATGGTCAGTTTCTGCTCTGCTGTTCAACTCTTTCGTCCGTCCCTGTCCACCTCATGGGCTGCACTGAGTTGCTGACCACTGCCGGAAATATTGCGAGGTCAAAAGCAAGTTCCATCAATTCATAGCTGGCTTCAAGACCGCCTCACTGATGTCCAATCGCGTCCCCGGTTGGACTCCACATTAGCTTTGGTCAGAAGATGTGCCCCCTCCCCCGGGGGGCCTAGTATCCCGGGGTTGGCGGCTATCACCGCCCACTCTCTCCGTAATATCACTGCATCGATGCCCGGGCATCAACTCCGCACAACTGATCTCGGCTCAGAGGTTCGCCAGGGTTCTCGACACCCAAGTGTTGCCGAGATCTATCTGACTCTGCAGGGAGCGTTTGTCTGCGAGATCATCATGGAGTCGCATGCTCGGTGCCTTAAGACTCGGGAGACAGGACGAGGCTCTCAAATGTGATACTAACTCAGTTCTTCGTATCGCCACTTAGCCGACCGGCTTCTTTGGTTAGCTGACTGTATACTCACTGAGGTGAGGTGGAAGGCATGTGGTCGAATTATGAACATGGTTCAATCGGTGTGAAACGTGCTACTCGGGGACTTGACTACCAGTCTCTGCGACTTTGCTGATGGACCGAAGCCGAAAACCTCGTATACATCAGCCGAGGACGGCGACATATAGGTTCTTTCTGCACCCCTAGAACTCGATGATTGTTCGCCTTCTTTCACGGCTTGGTGGCATTGTCTCTAGTCGAGAAGCGCGCTCGATCCACCACTCTAGACAATCTCAGTTCACAGTCTTGCAACCCAAAAGCATTAATCGCTTCCCGGCGGGGTGAAGGCTTTTGTCGTTGTTGTTGACCTCCTTTGCTTACAATGACTGCAATCATCAAAGAAGCAGGGGGGCCAGATCACGGAGCGGAGTCAGATATCAAACATCAGATGGAGATGGCCGAGTATGAGAAACAGCCCATAAGTATAGAACAACAGCAAGTGGAGGAGCCGGTGGTGACCCCAAAGACATGGGTGGTCGTCATGGTAAAATTTACATTTGCCTGCTGAGAGGCGTCCGACTGACATATGAAAACCAGATCCTATCACTTGGCTATGGAGTCTCGTTCTGGCCAGTCCCTGCCATGGCTGCAGTTGGCACAGGGATCGCAGCTGGATTTGGCAATGCTGCTGATGCTGCTTGGTTCATCCCAGCATGGACTCTTTCTATCACCGTCTGCTTTATGATTTGGTGCGTCTTTGAATTCTGGCTCGGAGCCTCGGACCATCAAGCTAACCACACGACCGTAGTGGAGCGAACACAGACTTACTCGGCCGCCGCTGGTTCCTGGTCGGCGGAAACGTCTTCTGCTTCATAGGCGAAATCATTATTGCAACAGCCAAAAACAACACTGCGGTCATCGTTGGAATGGCCTTGGCCGGCTTCGGCGGAGGGAACTGTCAGATGGCCGCGTTTGCCCTGTCGGAGCTACTTCCAAACAAATGGCGACACATCGGAGTCGTCCTGGCAGACTTGTCGGTGTTTGTCGCGGTGACAATTGCCCCTGTGACCGGCAGGTATGGCTTGATTACCGATACCTGGCAGTGGAATTTCTATTCCGGAGCGATAGCTCAGGCGTTTTCATTTGTTGGTCTGTATTTGCTCTACTTCCCGCCGGCGCACCCTTACAACATGGACCCAAGGCAGCTTATCAAGGAGTTGGACTACCTGGGCATGGCCTTGTTTACTGCGGGCGCTGTTCCTGTTCTGATGGGTCTGGTGTACACTACGATCTATCCGTCCAGTGATTTACACGTTGTGGTTTCGTTTGCCGTCGGCTTTTTCATTCTCATCCTTTTCGCCCTTTGGGAGACGTTTGGCCACACCAAGCATCCCCTCACACCGACCTACATGTTCACATCGTCGTACGGTCGCGACCTAACCGCCCCGTGTATTGCCCTCGGCATGATAAACATGTTCTACTACTCCAGTAGTATCCTCTGGCCAACGATGATTAACGTGTTCTATACAGACAATGGCTCGGACTGGAGGTATGCCAGCCTTCTCTCAATTGTGCAGGGTTTGGCAATCACTACCGGTGGCACCTTGTTGGCAATCTTCGGACGACGAATTCGACACTGGCACTGGCAGATGGGAGGGACTTTCACAATTACCGTTGTCTTTGGAGTGCTCTTAGCATTAGGAAACCCACACAACAAAGGCTTGATGATAGCATGCACCTTTCTCTGCCAGATGGCATATGCATGGTGCGTGTATCTAGCCATCGCTGTCTCTCAGATGGGAGTCGACCATCGAGACTTGGGTCATAGTGGAGGGATATCAGGCGTTGCACGCTTCGCAGCCGGAACAAGTGAGTCTCCAATTTTTTCCTTTCAAACCGACGTCTCCTTTACGATCCTTCAACGATCCTTCACGTGCTGACTACGCCAGTCGGGGTTGCAATCTACACCACGGTCCTGTCAAAGACGGTGACGAAACGCATAGCCGAATACGTGCCCGCGGCTGCAAGAGCCGCCGGCCTTCCGACCTCCCGTATCAACGATCTGATCTTGGCCTTGGGAAAACCCAACCTTGATCAGGCATTCCCTGCCCCAGTCGCGGTGGCGGCGACAAAGGCATGGCAACGGGCCTATGAGAAAGCAATCCAGTAAGTCTGCTCCGTGGCATTTCCCTCCTTGGTTGTCTTTGGTACCATCATTATCCTACAAGCATGTGAAACGCTGACAATAACTGTTCAGGAATGTCTGCTGGTGTTCCCTCGCTTTTGGCATTGTCGGAATCATTGCTTGTGTACTTTGCAAAGACATCGAGCCGAAGATGAACGATAAGATCGAAGTGTACATGGAGAACACGGAATACGCGGATAGGAATCAACGCTGAGAAGCTTTGAAATCAAGCTTCAATCCCATGGGACATTCAGACTAGTTTCGATAGCTGGAATGATTGTCTGCGTTACGTGTTAGCTGGTCATTGTAGCGCCAAGCGATGTCCCAATGTCAAAATTACATAGTGGCGTAGAGGGACAGAGCAGCATGCTTCTTCAAGTTTTACCACACTCTCCTTTCTACAATATGCAGAACGTTAAAGCCTTGGGGAAAAGGCATAGTGTAGTCAAGCAAACTCCTCAACAGCTTGACGGTGACTAGAGCACATTGGAATCGCTCTTGACCTTGCCGTTCACGCACTGCACCATATGTCTACTGAGACTCGATCGAGTATGTCCCCTCAGTAATTGAAAGAGGGGGTCACCGTGGCACCCTCAGGATCTCCCATATGTAAACGCGATCGACGTCACAAACAGGTCTAGGTCGGTTTTGCGAGGATCAATTTCATGAATGTACTCCATGTCCAACTGTCAAGGATGCTGAAGAGTAGCCGGTATGGCCAGAGGCTTGCCGGCGTCCACAGAACTACTGGGCGTCTGGCGGAAAGAAGGGTCGCTTGCCGGCCTGGAACCAGCTAGGTTTGAAACCGGCTGAGTAACTACAACTGCAACCGACAAAAGAGTGACTATGGCTTCCCGAACACAGGTTACAAAAACATTAATGCCGCTGTCAAGAAGGTAGAGGGAGGATATTGTCGGCATTCAAAAGTAGAAGTTACAGCAGGTGGTTTTGGGGCCCTATGTCCATGGTCGAGGCGGTACTATTGTACCATCAGTCAACTGTATTGTCTGGTTCGAGCCACTCTCGAGGCTGATGTTCAGGCGCCGGTCGTCTCGGCTTCGGCTTGGGACTTTCTGGTAGCGGAGCTTGGTCCCTTTTATACATGTAGTAACCATGTAACCACAAAAGTACGAACACATGACTAATTCGGGTGGCTGGTGGGCCATCTCCCTTTCAGAGTCCAGACCCCAGAGTCGTGGTGCCTGTAGTTAACCGGAGTGCTTTATGCTCATCGGCATGGTTGAGACGAACAATTACGCCGAGATGCTGGGCTTGTCGAGCATACTTCTTTTGTCAATATTGTGCAGGCCACCTGTTTATCCCTGTGCGTTACTTCATCATATTGACCCCGTTGGTTACAAATGGTCTGTTGACCTTTAGATGCCACATCCTTGTCATAATGTCGTTGCCCAAAACAACAAAAGCCTGGGTCATCCATGGCACAGATCCTTCCAAGGGCTTCGATAATCTGAAGTTGGAAGAAGTTCCCGTCGAGGAGCTGGGAGAGTATGATTGCCTCGTGCAGATTCAGGCTGTTTCGCTCAATTACAGGTAACGTAGAAGCCCGGGTGGTGAGATCGATGCTGACTGTACCAGAGATCTATTCATTCCCCAGGTACGTAACTTTCTTGGAACGGTGGTGTTGGGCGTGAAAACGACCGCTGACTCGTTCCAGGGCGCATATCCATTCCCTCTCAAGCCGCCAATCATCGCGTGTTCGGACGGAGCTGGCAAGGTCATCGCCGTTGGCAAGAAGGTCACTGAGTTCTCTGTCGGAGACAAGGTCGTCACCTCATTCTACCAAGGCCACCAATACGGCGACATCACGGAGCCGGCAACTGCGAGTGGACTAGGAGGTGGCCTCCATGGCACTCTACGGCACTATGGCGTCTTCCCCCAAAATGGGCTGGCCCTTGCTCCCTCCAACCTCACCCCGACTGGAGCTGGGACATTGTCCTGTGCCGCGCTTACTGCCTGGAACGCCCTTTATGGGCTTGCATCGAAAGCCATCAAACCAGGCAGTGTTGTTCTGACGCAGGGCACAGGAGGCGTCTCGCTTGCAGCGATCCAACTTGCACGAGCGGCAGGTGCCATCGTGATTGCCACCACATCCTCGGATGAGAAAGTCAAGTCCGTATCCCACCGTTTTCCATCCCATAAATTCAACATGCTGACTAACTTTAGGCGCCTGGAACAACTGGGTGCGAATATCGTCATCAACTACAAGAAAGATCCTCATTGGGGGAAGACGGCCAAACGGCTCTCACCCCGCAAAGAAGGCGCGGATCACGTCATCGAGGTGGGTGGCCCAGGCACGATGGAGCAGAGCATGAAAGCCGTCAAGCTTGAAGGCGTGATTGACGTGATTGGATTCCTTGCTGGCCCAAAGGCGGACAACGAGCCTTCGGCCTTGGAATCCCTGAGACACTGCTTCATGATCAGAGGTATTCTTGTCGGTTCTCGAGCACAGCTTCAGCAGATGAACCGTGCCATCGAGGCAAATGCGATAGACATCGTCGTGGATGAGAAGATTTTTAACTTTGAGGACGCCAAGGAGGCCTACAAATATCAATGGGACCAAAAGAACTTCGGCAAGGTTGTCATTAAACTGGATTGAAAAATAGGGCTATTCTGATGGAGCGTGCATTGATGCCTGTCGGGTGCCAAACACTCAGAGAGCTCTATGCAGTTCCCATCAGCCTCGCGCTTGGATTTTCCCGATGCCACTATTATGAGACTACTCTGGCTTCTCGTCTCTGCCGGCGTGCCCCTGTTATTCTCCCTACTTCCACGGGTGTGTCTATACTTTTCGTGGGGAAGTGGGACCAAAATTAGCTCGACCCGCTGTAGGAATATACCGTTCCCAGTGGAAAGTGTCCGGACAATAGCCGTTTTGCACCGAAACAGGGTATCTTACTAGCGCTATAACTCAATAGGTTAGGCGGTAACTCTAAAGCTTTATTAATAATACTAATAGTGTATGTAATGGGAGAATTTGCAGGCTGGAACGTGATTGATGGGATTTGCGTGTGCAATGTCGGACACCAGGTCGGAGAGTCCTTTTCTCTTTGATCCTTCAAGGGATCATTCATCCAGGCAATCAAGCAACCTGTCAATTAAGGAGTTGAGGACAGTGATCAATCAAGTTATAGTATCTATCTGATCAGGACCTTCGATGCTGTTTTATTGCTACTATGCGATGGCCGTTACCCCTAACACTATGCCCACCGCCGTACGAGTTGATGCCTCTGGCTCAGAGCCTCGTCCCAGTTCACTACGTACACTCTAGGCACCCATCTAGTACTGACGCAGACAGGGTACATAAGTATGGAGCCTACGAGGTATGGTTCTCGGCATCAAGGAGTCCACAACCGATATCATAACCGGGATACGGCAATCATTGCCGGACTAGGGCCGGTTTCACAGAATGAATTGCCCTGCTCTCGCCGTTGCGCTCACATTGGAAAGGGCTGTAATGGGTCTTGTTTCCGTTCGTTGAAAGGATACTTTGTTAGTCCAATGCTTTGAAACACCTTTGCTAATAAGAACGTGAGGAGCCAGAAGCGATGTTGAAGGCTCTCCTCACATGGTCCAGCTGCCATCACAATGGCTTTTATCGAATATCACAAAACCGGGCCCATTGACTGCCCAGCAGAGTTGAACTACGCCAAGGTGACAGGACGAACGGTGATAGTCACTGGAGGTAAGGTTTTTTATCATGCAACATGTATCTTACTTGTACGGCTTTTAGATATCTTCGATGGCTGACATGCGACTGATCGCTAAAAGGTAGCAATGGACTCGGTGAAGCCTACGTAACCGCGTTGGCAGATAGTGGGTTAGTAGTCCTTCCAACACAGTTGGGACCGTGAAGACCGCTGTGTTACTGTGCGACTGACATGGCCGTAGAGCCTTCGTTGTTAATGGTGACTTAAACCCACCAGCGAAGCCATATAAAACGTCAAAGTATGTATACGGGATGCCGGTTGCCTTCCAGATACTGGCTAGTATAAATATGGCTAACATATGTACTAGCATCCTTTTCGTCAAGTGCGATGTTTCTTCCTGGGAAGATCAGGCAGCGTTATTCGCGATGGCGAAGGCGAAATCGCCTAATGGGGGTATCGACATCGTGATCGCAAATGCGGGTGTCTTCAGGGAGGACCGTTTCTTCGAGGGTGAGCTGCCCCTTTCCCGAAACCGTTTTCTCCTGCTCTTTTATTTATACTATTTCTTCTGCCTCCTTTCACTTATGCTTCTCTTCCTCTTCTGCAACTCCCATAGACGATGGCATGGTAGGCTTACTTGCTTCTTACGAGCAGGTTTTGACTCTCCGATTCCAGTGAAAATAAATCTCAAAATGCTCGAAGTCCACGTTCACGGGGCGTACTTCACGGCCAAGCTGGCAGCACACTACTTTTCTCGTCAACCAAAAGCCAACGACCGATGCCTAATCCTGGTTGGTAGTGTAATGAGTTATCTCGACACTTATGGCGCGGTCGGCTATGGTCTTGCGAAACATGCTATTCGAGGCATGTTCGGTGTGCTTCGAAGACGAGGAATTATGAGAGTGAACATGCTTGCACCTTGGTAGGAAAGCCTTTTCTTCCAATCTCGCAAAAAGGGCGAGCGACGTACAGAGACTAATAGGTTCTGAAGGTATACACGCACCACGGTCCTCTCTCCTGAAGTCAACAAGACATTAGATGGCTTATTTGCCTCTCAAGGTCTTTCGTTCGCTCTAGTGGAGGACGCTGTCAGGGCGATGATGAGAATTGCAACCGATCCTAGCCTCAATGGTGAGTCGGCGAATTAGATATCCACCTGTTCGAAGGCGACGTGGTCCTAACGCATGACCTAGGTCATGCCCTCAGCAACGTCCCCCGAGTAGTGGCTTCTTCTGGTTACGTGGACGTCAACTCAGACGACTTTGTGGACGGCAGTCTTTTGGACAGATTCCAGAAGAGTGTCGCGGAGATCAAATATCCAAATTTGATAGCTCCGGTGAGCAAGCTCTAACCCGCGCAATGCACGCAGCTGCCTTCTTGGCTATTCAGTGCCTCCTGCTACAGGCCAATACATTGACCAAATGTTTGACTCGTCGCCATGGTAGGACGGATCATCGCTGGATAAAAGCCTGTTGGGCAGTCCAAGATCCCATAGGCCGGCGGGGCGTCGATGTTTGGGAATATTGGTGGTTGGACACCTACTCGCAGCCCCAGCCTTACTCACTTTATTGTATGTAGATGGCCAGCTCGTCCCCTCGACTATAGACAGAGGAAAAAGGAATTCAACTGAATCTTACGCATGACACCAGCCATAGCCTGCTTTATATCCCTCAGCACTGTTACCACTGTACGTCCAGCTGCAATCCACCCGCCCACGGTACCCTTGCGACCACAGTCCGCCAGAGCAAGCACCCTTCTTGACAGGATGTAGCAGATGATAGAGTTATTTTTTGGATTCTACTTCCAAAACTCAGACAGTTCAAATTATCACCGATTACCTTAATCAGCCCAAAATTCTTAGGGTGCCACAATCACATTTGAAGTATGAACTGATTTGTATCCAATTGATTTCTCCCAAGCAGCAACCTGAGACCCTTGACAATGCCAACAGTCGCTCGCATAGCTGCAGGCCTGGCACACATCAAGTGGCGTCCATGTGGCCTTGCACAAATCTCGCTTCGATTAGACATCTTCCTGTATTCCGCTCACCAACACCAATAGTTCGCACTTGCCCAGAGAACAGGACAACTGATCACGTACTTGCCGTACGGGGGGTGTTCAGCTGGCTTGACCTGAGCTGCCGTGAAGGACATTGATTCCTTCCATGTGGCAATAGAGTAGCCGGGCATTGACATCAAGACGAGCGGCTTTGAAAGGGAGCGGCTAACCTGGCTCGCTTGGGGGCCCCAGAAACACCCCCGGACCCCAGAGAGTCCCGGCATTCTCTGGACCAACCGGTAACTCTACCTCCGCTCGAGACCGGATCGTGATGAAGCCGAGCCCTCTCATACCGACATTGTTGACGAATGCATGCCCCATACGCTGGTATATACTCAATCAATTTCATCATAGCTTTTCGAAGTCGAAGACCATAAGCTCTGCTCGCCTCAGCATTGTCGCCTACCACACTCCGATCATCGAACTTCACAATGGAGCTTGAAGGGCTTCATGAGAAGCAACGTCACTACAAGACGTCCACCATCTTCCTCGTCTGCGGCGTGTCCTGGGGCGCTGCAGCCTATGGGTATTCTGCGAGCGTCATTTCGACCACTATTGCCCAGCCCACCTTCCTGAAATATATGGGCCTCGATGGGCCCAACTCCACTCAGCTCTTAGGGGCAGCAAATGCTCTTTTCTTCGTTGGCGGAGTTTTTGGCAGTTGCATGGTCGCAGCATTCGCGGACAAATATGGCCGCAAAGCGGTGATTGGTGGAGGGGCGGCTGTCGTTTTGGTATCCACAGCTCTACTAGCCGCATCTGTCCACATTGCCATGTTTATTGTCTTCCGCTTCTTTGCCGGTTTCGGGTAAGTACCGTACCCTCAGCTGCAGTAGCATTTTCTTTCCCTCCGTCGCTGAACATATCCAGTGGCTACGCAGCCCTCACAGGAGTGCCCGTCTGGGTCGCAGAAATTGTGCCGCCTAAACACCGTGGTATCCTTTCAGACATCAATCCTATTTTCATCAATATCGGATATGTATCCGCATCATGGGTCGGCGTTGGCTTCTTCTACCTCGACAATGAGAGTGCGTGGCGCGGTCCCATTGCCCTTGGGTGCTTACCGCCCTTACTTTGTTTGATCTCTCTCTGGTTCGTCCCCGAGAGCCCCCGATACCTACTACTTCAAGACCGAGCAGACGAGGCTTGGGAAATAATTCGCGACCTTCACTCGTTTCACGGCGACGACCTTCACTCGTTTCACGGCGATGAGAGCTTCGCCCAACGCGAATTCCACGAAATGAAAACCCAAATTCTCTTCGATCGGTCACTTTCAGGGGGTTATCGCGCCATCTTTAAACGACCATCATATCGGAAGCGGGCGTTGATGACCATGGGCCTAATATTCACTTTAGTTAGCTCAGGAGTGCTGGTCATCGGAAGTAAGTTTCTCACAAGTCTTGAATCCCGCATTTACGGAAGACTAACAGAACGCTTTCTGTGCAAAGATTATTCAACCATCCTATACTCACAACTAGGCTATAACAACAAAGATCAACTATTACTCCAGGCGAGCTGGCTCATCGAATCGTTCTTGATGAACCTTGTCGCTCTACTGATTATCGATCGCCTACCACGTCCCACTCTTATCACAATAGGCTTGGCCGGCTGCGTGGTGGTAGTGTCATGCGAAGCTGCACTTGTGGCGACATACCGAGACAGTGGTAACAAGGCGGGTCTGGGCGCTTGCGTTGCGTTTTTATATATGTTCAACGTCACATATGGCTGCTTTCTGGACGGCGTCACATGGTGGTATACGGCCGAGATCTTCCCAACTCACCTCCGTGCTCACGGCATGACGCTTAATATGGCCATGTACGCGCTGACCAACATCATCTGGCTGCAAGCTGCACCCACGGCATTCGCCAACATCGGATGGAAATACTACCTCTTCTTCATTTGCATCACAACTGTTGGCACGATCATCATCTGGTGGACTTTCCCTGATACCTTGAATAAGCCACTCGAAGAGGTCGCGCAGCTGTTTGGAGATAACGACTTGGTTGTGGCTTACCAAGATCTTGCTGGAAGAGGGAACGTGACCTTGGCTGAGGTTGAGCTCCAGGACAAAATCGCCACCACCACGATGGATGGGAAGGAGCATATTCGAGACCATGCGAAACATGAGGAATTCGCGTCTTCTGAGGGATCGAAGGACAAGTGACTCCAATCCCACCAACTATACAGTCGAAGCGATCGTTGGCGGCTAACTATGTGAGGGGTCAGTCGCATTCCACCACTCCGCCATCTTTCCGGGGTTATGGTCATCTGTGATGTATGTAGGACATTTTATGTATCGAGAGCGTACATTCTGCCAGTTTGTCCTTGTTCTTGACTACATAGGAATTAGCATTGGTATCCTAACCACCATCCCACCAAGCCGTCAATTTCTGTTCGGTTAAACCAGTCAATTACGATGCTCGACAAGGATAACAGTATCGTGGGAACTACGTTGCCGATTCCCAGATCGGAAGTGTATTTCCAAATAGATGCGTACTGAGATTTCCTAGATTTCTCTGAATCTTTCGAGTGTACGACCTACACTAGCCAACAAGGCCAGCTGTCTAAAGTAACAACAATTCTTCCATCATGCTCTCGGCAGCATGGTTGGAAGGCCCAAAGGGAGATATGTAACTTCGGAGGCTAGGATCGCTCAAGGGAAGACTGCAATTGTCTGAACTATCTAGAGGCAGATCCGGAGATAATGCACCTCCTGCACATGTCGAATGTCAAGATAGGAAAGCAAGGGAGTAAGAACAGTCAGTACATTTCACGACAATGTATATTCCAAATGAACCCTCTCTACGGGAATGTGGGATTGTGGCGCATGTCTTTGTGCGCCGTGAATATCTCCTTCAATCTATACAACGCCAACCAGTTCCTCCGCCGTCGCCTTCACCGTGACGTCTATGTTAGTCTTCGGGATACCTTGATCCAGTTCCTCCTGGGATGGCATCGTCAGATCTTTGGCCGGTTCACCGTCCAGCTCAAGACCGGCAAGCCGGCCATCCTTTCTCCAGGCATCCAATAGGCGGATGAAGTGAGGAGAGCCCAGGCCGTAACGGCTGGTTTTCAGCGTCTTCTCGGTAATCTGGCCCTCGTCGTTGTAGTAACTCGGCGTGCATTCGCGCAGGAAGTCTTCACGAAGCCTTCCCAACTCGATGATGGTCCGGACCCAATCCTGCTCCGCCTGTGCGGAGGTTTCGATGGTCTTCGCGCCACGCCGCAACGCCTCTGCCACCACAAAGGCTATATGTGTTGCCTGCTCGTTGAGCATGTGCGTGAAATTGGGCGCGACGGCGGTCTGCATGATACTCATGATGAAATGGTTGGGGAAGCCGCGTGTGTAGATGCCGTGGAAGGTCTCAGGCCCGTTCTTCCAGTGCTCGCCTAGTGTGATTCCGTTGCGGCCGCGCATGGTGATGCGCATCCTCTGACTGTAATCGCTGCCAATATACTCAAAGCCAGAGGCGTAGATGATGCAATCGACCTCGTACTCCTTACCCTTGGCGACGATGCCTTTCTCTGTGATCCGCTCGATACCCTGTCCCTCGGTGTCGACGAGATGGACATTCTCACGGTTGAAGACCGGAAGATATTCGTTCGAGAACGTCGGCCGCTTGCACATTTGGTTGTACCACGGCTTCAGCGCAGCCGCGGTCGCCGGGTCTTTGACCACTTCGTCGACTCTGGCACGAATGCGCTCCATCTTCTGGAAGTCGGCCATCTGCATCGCTTTGGCCAACTCTTGCGCGGCCTTGATGGGATCGGCGGCTCGCTTGCTCGCCGCGACCTTGCTGCCGGAGATGGATAGGTTGACCAGGATATCGGTCCAGCCGTCGCCGACCTCGTCTTCCTCTCCCTCCTCATGCTCACCAGACACAATGTTGTTGAAGTTGTTCATCCGATGTTGTTGCCACCCTTTTTTGGTTAGTAGGCTTTTGGCCCAGGCTGGGTCCGTGGGACGATCGAGCCGGATATCAACTGATGAGGGCGTGCGCTGGAAGACATAGAGTTCCTTGGCCGACCGTGCCACGTGGGGGATGACCTGGACTCCAGTGGCTCCGGTACCAATCACGGCGACGCGTTTATCAGCGAGCTTACTGAGATTGCCTTTTGAATCGCCTCCGGTGTATGCGTAGTCCCACCGACTGGTGTGGAAGCTGTGTCCTTTGAACGAGGGAATACCGGGGACACCAGGTAGCTTAGGTTTGTGTAAGAGCCCACCAGCAGTGGTGATGAAGCGAGCGTGGATATGATCTCCTCGGTCGGTGGTCACGTCCCATCGCTTAGTATCCTCGTTCCAGACCAGGCTCAAGGCCTCGGTGTGGAACAAGGCACGGTCGTAAAGACCGAACTTTTGGCCGATCCGTCTAGAATGCTCGTAGAGCTCGGGCGCACGAGCATATTTCTCTGTGGCCACGTAGCCCGTCTCCTCTAGAAGTGGCATATAGATATAAGCTTCGATATCGCACGCTGCTCCAGGATATCGGTTCCAGTACCAGGTGCCGCCAAAGTCTCCAGACTTGTCGATAATCTTGATGTTTTTGATCCCGGCTTCATAGAGACGTACAGCGAGGATCATTCCACTGTAACCCGCCCCGACAATGAGGTAGTCTACCTCTTGGTCGATGGGTTCTCGCTCTAGGCGCTTACTCCATGGATCTTCTGTGTAGTGCCTGAGCGCGTCCTCTTCGACGGTGTGGTACTGAGCGAGTCCATCCCGCTTTAAACGCTTATCACGTTCCTCCCTATACTTGGCTTTCAGAGCCTCGGGATCAAAGTCAGGCTCCTTTGGAAGAGACGGTTCTGCGATAGAGCCCATGACGGCTTGGAAAATGCACCAAGTCTAATAAAGTCAACAAAGTTCTGGAAGTCAATAACAATCTGCAAAGCCTGTGCGGAAAAGAGTCGAAGACAGATGCGTTTTCTCTTTTTTCCCCAGGGTCTTCTTATATTGACGGGGATCCTAGATTAGCTGTCTCAGGCTTACTGTTTCGAGCCGACGATATGGAATCTGAGGGAGGAATTGGGAATTTGATCGTATGTAGCATATGGGACTGAGGCTGGTCCAAAGCCGTGAAATCCCCACTCCGTCGGCTCCAATATGGACAGGACAAATTAAAGAGCACGGGGATCCCTTCTTTCGAGGCCAATCAAATCATGCCGCTTCGTTCGGCCAAGTATGACGAATGCCGGCTCCTTAGGTAGCACTGGCGTCTCGGCAAAATCTGAAGTGCACAGCCGATGCCGTCCCCGGCATCGACGTATTCGGCTGCACCTGCAGGGATGCTAGCCGAAGGACAGTTTAACTAAAGTGGGAACCAAGGCGTGCAAGGTAAGTAGCAGAGATGATGCTGGAGGCGAAGCCATAAGAGGCCGCGCCAAACGAAACTCCACAGGCATACAGAATGGTCGATGTTTTGTAGTGCCTTCGCGGCTTCTCCTCGAGGGTCGTCGCCGTGGATCAGGAGAGACAAGTTTTCCTACTGTGCGAAGACGAAGGTTGCTAGCGTAGCCGTATCAAAGGAAGGCTATGCTGAGAGTTTTCGACCTCGTCCAAGACCCAGGAAAGGGAGACTGAGATTCTGTAGATGTAGAAGGCAAACTCCCTTTGATAAACATGCCAAGTTTGGCATCTGATCTAAATTTGCTCTCTGAGAACCCCGGAAAGTCACTCGGCTCCGCTAAATGATTTCCTGGAGACCTGGGGAAAGGCAGTCTCGTTCGATGATCAAAGCTGGCAATAGAGCAAGAAGGGACTGATCGTCCCTGACACCCAAGTCCAAACTCCTGTAATGGCCTCTTTGCCGTGACTCGAATGCCGGGACATCGCAATGGGATATGAGCGACTCACACCAATCACGACGACTTCATCCTGGCTTGCACAAAGCCATCAAGGGATGTGTAGCCATTTTCATAGGCGCAGGGGCTCGCTGTTGAAGTCAAGGCCGCTGCGATTGACAGGATGATCCTAGAACCAATATCTACACGTGTGCAGACAGGTCGCGACTAAGCGGCCTGCGTGGAGGTTTGCCTTAGTAGCATCGCCGCAGGGCAATGCCCGTAAGCCTGGAGCACATAGCAAGGCAAGGGTCCATAAAAGGGTATTCTTGATTGCCTTGGAGCATGACAATGTTGCGATTTGATGTATCCAGAGTCATGCCTTGACCGCGCACAGGCGAGGCGTCTCCCAGTCAGATTCCTTCTGCCCGTCGCTGGAACGAGGGCAGAAGAAATTACCCGGTTCACAGCCTGGGGGACCGGATTCCCCCGTCGCCACAGGGAGGGCACATCACTCGCAAGAGGCTTGTGGAGACCCCCGGGCCCAAGGGGCCCCGGTAAGTTAGCTAGGCTCCAGTTAGGTCCCTGTGGTCCCTGTACTCCGTACAGTGTACTCGGTACCGAGTATGTCCTCTGGTGAAGTTAAAACTAACCACAGGGCTTGAACCTAGCACTCTAAATAGTTAACTAAACTACCCCGCCCCTGTAGCCCCGTGCCCCGAGTCTTGTCTCCGGACACATGCCCAGTTTCTCACGCGCGGGGTCCTCGGCAATCCAACGCGCCCATGGACTATCTTAAAGCCGGTATCCTCCTGTGACTTTCCCGAGCTACTCCAGCCACTTCTTTCTCCTCGCCGTTGTCATACCACATAGTCAATTACCGCTGTAGGGTTGCCTTTCGCTTCGCCAATGGGCAAAGTGCGGATTTCAAACCCCCAAGATGAATGTGGAAATTGAAATGTCTGGTGCACCGAACCTGAATGCCGGGTCAGCTCCCCAGCCAAATCCGCAGGCGGGCAGCCGAGTGTCGCAGAAACCGGTTAGAAAAAGGGCTCGAGCGGTTTGCCTAAGATGCCATGAGAAGAAGGTCGGTCCATCTGTCACGTGCAGACTCGGACTCTGCCCGCCCTGGTCTGATCCACTCCTCTGAGTCGTGCTGAATGGTATCGACGTTGCAGATCCGATGTGACCTAGACATGCGATGTGGAGGAGACGAACGAGCGTGCATGAACTGTACCCAGAGTCAGAGTGAATGCAGGTATGACCCCGTTTCCGAACTGGTTCCCCGCGGTTCTGGGGGCAAGACACTTACATACCTCTTCGGCCCCTGACACTGTGCTTGGGAATCGCGCATCTAATTCCGCTTGCTCTAGACCCCGTCCCTCTCGACGAGGCTTACATGACCATCAAGCCAGCCAAAACGACCGACGCAGTCTCGCAAATCGCCAATCCCGGAGTCCCAGGGTCAATGACGCCCTTAGCAGCGTCCCGGATGAAGTCACGACGGCGACCGTCTATCAATTCCCCCCTTTGCCTCCTATTGATCAGACGAGATCAGTGGAAGGGCAGCCTTCTCAGAGCATGGTCTCGGAGTCTGCCCATCTGCCGCAATCTTCATCCCAACGCATAACACGGCCGCCTTCCTATGTCTCTGCTACCTCAAGCCACAATGATGGACCTCTCGCAGCGTCGAGTCTCCCGGTCACCAAGCATGCTTACTCGACTTCATACAGTGAAGCGAGCAATCACCCTCAAGCGAGCTATCTGGGGGAATCGGGCTATATGCCATTCCTCAATCATGAACAACATACGTCCAGCAAGACTGGTGGTGGCCCAGTCACCATCGAAATTCGCCAGACCGTCAACCCTTTGTCTCCCGCCCTGCGAAAGTCTTATACTGAGATCTTTATTAAACATTGCTTCACCTTCTGTCCTGTACTTGATCCTTCTCTGCTCGCGCTACCCGAGTTTGAGAACTCTCTTGCCCTTCAGCAATCGATTGGCTTGATTGGAAGTGTCATCCAGCCTTCTCTGCTTCACGGAGATACACCCGCCGCGTACTACGAAAATGCCAGGTTGTTGATCCAAGGTGGCTACGAGCCCAACCCACTCGCGGCTTTGATGGCTGTCATGCTTTTCTACTGGTTTGCTGCCGCCCCGCCCACCGTGATCAGCATGAACGGCGTATGGTGGTGGATAGGAGTCGCTGTTCGTCAGGCTCAGGAGCTGGGCCTGCATCGTGAATGCAACGCCGGTCAGACCTTTCGACCCGGAGAAAGTATTGGGCTACGTCATCGAATATGGTGGACTCTATTTGTATGTAGCCTTTAATCCTGGGGTTCGAGTGATGCCTAACTTTTCAGCAGGCTAGGGAGAGACTTACCGCCATCTGTCAAGGGAGGCCGTGCATTATCAACCCGAGAGATTGTGACGTCCGTGAACCGTCACCGACCGATTTCCCTGACCCGGACGACCCCAGGGCGATGGTTTTCGTGCAATGGGTCCGACTTTGCGCCATCGTGGGTAGGGTAGGCGACCACCTTCGTCGAAATCCAAATGGGGCGCAAGTGGCCCATGAGCGTCTTGAAGAGTTGAGGAAATGGGCACAGAACCTACCCGAGTCATTGCGTTTGCCCTTTACCCGGGCCACAAGTACGGAACTAGATGCAGACCTCTATCAGCTTCACCTGCCATACCTGTCATGCATTGCGCTCCTCCACATGAAGAAGTCGAGCCAGGCTTTGCCCAAGGCTTACACACCAGCACTTCTAGCCGCGTCGTGCACCGCACGAATCTTTGAGGAGATTCTGGTTAGAGGTTCATTACGGTTCCTCCAAGGTATGGCTGGGTGGCACATTGCGATAGCCCTAATGGCCCTGCTACACGTGCGGCAGGTCGGACGTTTACAGGAAGCGGCTGACGAGCATATCCGCGTTCTGCGAGTGGCGCTGCGAGAGTTGGCCCGACGATTTGACTCCGCCAAAATGTATGACCGGAGCATTGAGAACCTTCTCAATGCGCAGCAGAGACACAACGCGCTTCTTGACCCGCAAGAGGAGAGACCACAGCATTTCTCTGACGAGTCGCCTGTCGTTATGAATCAGGAAGTGGATCCTGTTCTGCAGGATGAACAGCAGGATTGGTTGAAGTACTTCCCTGGCCTTCCCACCAACCTGAGCCCGTTGCTCGAGATCCTGTTGGTCAATAATCAGCCAACCCTGTTTTCGGATTTCGGCAGCGGCAATGATCTCAGCTATCTGCTCTACGACATTTTCGATAATCCTCTAGATGGCATCAATGGCGGACCGTCTGATCATCTCGCTGGTTGGGGAATGAGCATGACCAACGGTTCATTCATTTAACTTGGATGACTCCTGGCATTGGTCCATTGAAAAGAGACGAAAGAAACGAGTCGATTCGGAGGCCACTCTCGAACTCGACGCAATTATTGTCGTGTTAGAAACCACAATTTTTGTCGCCTCTGTTCAGCATTGAATCTTCTCCGAAGCTCTTCTTCCGCTGCCACACATGCACCGTGAACTCCACGGAACGGTCAGAGAATTGCTGCCACACAGAGCGCAAGGACGGAGGGGCTTTGTTGACCTCGTCTACCTTAGCCTAACCTAGAAAAGCCTCACGCTCCTCACGTGCAGCGGTCACTAGCTATGCATGTCCACCGCTCAGGGAAAGTCTTGGATTTTATTTGAGATGTCTGCGGCGTGGTGCTTGGACGCATGACTATTTCGTGGTTATGTATGTCACTGAAACCAACATCACACCACGACCGCACCACGACCCAACTCCCTTATTTCTTGCTGGGAGGAGACGCCATATGGGTGTACTTGATCTGTGCGACACTTCTCTGGAAACGGTCCAAAATAGAGCCCTCCTCAAAGTCGTCCATGGCGAAGTCCACGTATCCAGAACGAGCCACAAGTCGAGGGACGTTACTGAGGGTGCGACCTGAAGGATGTGTTAGCATTTGATATCACGGCGGCGGCGCGAACACACTCTGGGTATCAGGGACTTACCGTTGAGGGTTGGGTCTGTTGCTATTCTCATAATCACTTTGACCGCATCGTTCACCTCGGCAAAGGATAGACCTTGAGAGGCAAAAAGGTCCTCTAGGTAATTTTGGAATTCAGCAGTATTGACAGTGGAAGGAGTATACCTGTTCATTCCGGTTAGTTAGTGACGATGCCTTGAAACCCTCTTTTTTACGCCGCTTCGAACTCAACGAGAGAAGCACTCACCAGGGTGCTAGCATGTTCACACGCATTATGCCACGCCTCCGCAGAACACCCATCAGACCTCGAACGCCATGTTTGGACATGCCATAGCTAACCGCGCCGTACGTGTCAAGATAGCTCATGACACTACCAATCAGAATTAGGCATCGGTCATACTTGTCTTCTGGTTGCTGGCTGAAGTAGTGAGCTGCCAGCTTGGCTGTGTAGAACACTCCATAGATATTAACATCCATCATTTTGAGATTGGGCTTGGTTGGAACGGGTGAGTCCAGGCCTGTTTGAGAAAGGTCGATGAGCAGAGTGTTTTCACCATTGTTCAGAGGGAATGATCCCACGAGCGCAGAGAAGGATTCAAACTGTTGGCAAGACAAGGGCGACGACGTACCGGCGAAGAAAAGGTCTTCCTTGAAGATGCCGGCATTTGCAATCACGACATCAATTCCTCCATTAGGGGATTTGGCCCGGGCCGTCTCGAACAAGGCCACCAGATCGTCCCAAGAGGTGACGTCGCATGTTACAAAGAGAATGCTGCCGGTAGAGCTTAGCATGAGATGGTCCGCAGCCAGCATGGCTTCCAGGAGGAACCTAAAACTGTTCCACAACATGCTTACTTGGACTCAGAGTACGGCTTTTGAGGTGGGAAAAGGTCTCCGTTGACCACAAATGCTCTTGTTCAGTCTCTGTCAGTTTCCCGGACAAACTTTTGATGCTTGCGGTGGTCAAGAAAAGGGGAGGCACCAACCCGTTTTCAGCAAACGCTTTGATGTACGCTGCTCCCAGTCCGTTACTGCCTGGTCACGACAGTTCCTGTGTCAGCAAGGGATGTCTTCTAAAACAAACAGACGACTCGCATGAGGGAGCCAATCATGGATCTTACCGCCCGTAATGATCACGGTCTTCCCTTGCACCTTGGAATAGTCCACGTCGGCTGGGCAGTCCGCCGGACCCGTCTTGGTATATGCGAAAACTGACATGGAGAATGAGATCCAAGGATGGGCAGATGCTTGCAACAATAGAATGGTGCTTCAATCTCGAATGCCACTGAACAGAACGAGCTTTTCTTGCAAGATAATGGCTGTGAAAGCTCTCGTCCTCTATTCGGGACACAGGAAGAGTCTTTGATGAGCGTTCAATTGAGCATGGACCGATGTGACCGGCATCCGCATAGACTGCCGCAGACGCACCAGAAACAGCATTGCCCGGTCCGTTCATTCTTCAAAGATGCAGCAGAGGCGCAATAGCCGGCAACTAGTCTCTCCTGGCGACCATTTCTGGGGATGTTGTTACCGTCCTCTACCGTGTCTTCGGCTATGATGCTGCTTCACCATCCCTTCTGCCCCAGATGGGGAAAGTATCTGACCCCAGGAGCCGGCACGCCGTGGGGGACTCCACGACACGTCGGCAGCCCGCAAGACACCTTGACTTCTCCCAACATTTTGGTGTATTCTGGGGGAGCCGAGCCAGACCGGTCTGGCTCTTGTTGTACCCGAGGCGTTCGAGCAGTCATGAAGTCTACACAAGGACTGCGCAGGGGGCAGAAGCATCGGCCGGAGAGGAATCTATATGACCTGCCCGTATTCTGACACTCTTTCAGCGAGACGTCCCTCAGCTACTTGGGTCCTGATATCGATAGGACATAGCTGCTCTCTGTCTTTCTCCTGAGTGTGTCACCCCGTGGACAACCGACCCTTTATCCACCCTGCACAGTGCTTCACAGCTCATCAAGGTTCGCAGCCATGGGGGGTGCAAGTGCTTACAATTTCATGGTCGCTGCCGCAGTGACGGTCGGCTCGTTCACATATGGGTTCAACAACTCTGTCATAGCACCCGTCTATGGTAAGGCACAGAGTTCTTTGCTCTTCTGTCCCGTCTGGCTAATATTGATTCTGGCAATCAGGAATCCCGGCTTTCCTCAACTACTTTGGTCTTTCCGCTGACACCGATGATCAACGGACAGCGAGCATCATAGGAGGTACAGGCTGGCAACCCCCATCACCCGGTTTTGCCAGTGATGCTAAAAGATAGCTACAGCTGCCAATGGCCTTTTCTTCGGCGGCGGAATGCTGGGCTGCTTCACAGTTGCATGGAAAGGCGATTTCTACGGCCGTGTCCGTAACTTACAAATCGCCGCTGCAACATGTCTGATTGCCGCCATCATTCAAGGTGCTTCAGTTCATATTGCCATGTTCATCGTCGGAAGATTCATCAGTGGCTATGGGTGAGTCTCCACCACAGGGGAAACCACCCAAAGCCAAGACTGACGTTGTCCAGTTCGGGCGCCATAGTCTCTTTGATTCCCACTTACTTATCTGAGATTGCACCGCCTCACATGCGAGGCCGTATGGTTGGCCTCGCGGCCGTGGGACAGGTCACTGGCTATGTAAGACGAATGACTTCTCCCCGGGCTCTCAAGGTGCTAATGTGTATCCAGTCCGTCGCAGGCTGGGCCGGCTACGGATGCTATTTCGGAAATGCCAGTACATCCTGGCGTTTGCTGGTTTGCCTTCAAGGTAAGATTGAGAGCTCTTTCAACACGAGAGCGACATGTGCTAAAAGCCCACTCCATAGTCATTTCACCTGCCTTCATTCTTGCCGTGTCGCCCTGGCTGCCCGAGTCTCCCAGGTGGCTGATGCTGCGTGGTCTCCATGCAGAGGCCTTCGCCAGCCTCAAGAAACTGCACCACACAGCCCACGACACCGACGACATTTTGGCCCGAGAGGAGTATCTGCAGATCAAAAAGCAGGTCAACCTTGACATCTTGAAGCCGCGCACCCTCTGGGCCATTTTGAAGATTCCATCCTATAGAAGACGCCTGTTCACCGCAATGTTTCTCGAGTGGGTCCTACTTCTTTTTTTCGACCCCATTTGAGCCATTGTTTACTTTGGCTGACTTTGGCGCGTCCTTTAGGTTCTTGTACCAAAGCACCGGTGTGTTGGTTGTCAACAACTATCAGGTATGCCACCTTCCTTTCCTTTCCCGCTTTGCCACCACCGCAGACTAACACAGAACGTCTAGGTTCTGCTCTACAGTAACCTGGGTCTGAATGGTTCCGTTACACTCCTGCTCTATGCCGTCTACTGCTCCTGGGCGGGCGTGGTGAACTTTGCATCTACCTACTTTATCGACAGATTTGGCCGTGTGAAGATGATGATCTGGGGAACAGTAAGTAATATCATACTCTGGCCCTCGGACGTCTGAATGATTGCATTTCTAGTGGTTGGGTCGTCAAGGGCGCCTTACCCTCGCCTTAAAGCCTTCCCTAAGCCACAAACTGACTATGTTCATTGCCCCAGATTGGCTCCATTGCCAACATTATCCTGCTGATGTCGATGATCGCAAAGTACGGCGGCACCACCAACAAGATCGCCAACGGCTTCGGCGTCTTCTTCTTGTTCTTCTACGTCACATGGTACGGTTTCGGCATCGACCCTACAATCTACGTCTATATGTCTGAGCTCTTCCCGACCCACGTCCGCTCCCAAGGCGTCGCCATGGGCCTGGCCAGCTTTCTGGGCTCGGCTCTGGTGTACAACGAAGTGGCGGGGACAGCGTTCGCCACTATCGGCTGGAAGTACTACCTTGTCTTCATCGCCGTGACGCTCGCCGGTCTCCCGTTCCTGTTGTTCTGCTGCCCAGAGACCAAGGGCCTGACGCTCGAGGAGGTGGGCCAGCTGTTTGGCGACGAGGTCGGTCTGGATCTCACGCACATGACGCCCGAGCAGAGGCAAGAGCTCGACCGAAAGCTTCTGGCCGAGGATCCAATCTTGAACGCTGGACGTTCGTCACCACCGGAGACGGACGTCGAGACCAAGAGCGCCATACCTGGTCGAACTGTACACCTCGAGGTGGCAGATGTATAGACAGGCCTTGCCTCGTTTACCTGACATGTGTTGCACCCCGTAGCGACATTCGAATGAGTTTGAATTGGAGAAAGTTCGAATGGATGGCAGAACGATGTCATGACGACCGATTAGGACGTGGTGTCTCCCCTCAAGTGGTATTACTTTCTACATCAGTCTTGTTCCCAGATAGTAGGACATTTCGCTCGCTACCGGCCTACTATGACTTTGGAGACAGAAATCTCACAACTTTGCTAGACAACACGATCAATCCTACTGTATTCCGTATCGGGGATGGAAATTTGGGTGTAGACATCTACCTGCTACTACTGCTTTGTTCTGTCTGAATACACCTCCGACCTACTACTCGATTATTCTGTCAATGAACTTGAGGCTGCCGCCATGCTCTCCTTGCTCTCCCCAGTAGAATTCAATCGAATTCAACACTTTGCATCACGTGTGCTGGTCTTGGTGAACCTCAAGACTATACTGTACCTCCAGCACCCTTGGGAAGACAGGCGGATCCAACGAGAAGAGAAAGACAAGCTACGTGGGTACTTCTGCCGCCATGGACTTATCAGTGCCGACTTCGTATGAAGTATGTTGTCTACGCTGTGATCAAGCACACTTAACACTCTGCATATATATCGGCATTCATTGCTCTGCGGCCCTTTTGCTGAAGTGGTTGGGAGCCTCAGTGCTGTGGTGAGGTGGGTTAATCTGGGCAGGAGGCGCCCATATGACTTTCCCAGCTTCAGGCACCCCCAGACAAAGGCCAGGATCAAGTGTTCTCAAATCCAATTCATCCATTCTTCCGATCTGGCTTGGTAGGAACGGAGGGAACATTTCATCCTTGGCCAGGAACACGGTCATGAGAAGGAGCGAAACAACAAGGGACACAGAACGAGGCGTACGCACAACAGCCAGAGAGCCGAGAAATCGCAAGATATGAGATGGAGATCGATTCGTTTATACAAGAGAACAAGAACAGGAAAATGTCAAGGTCCAAACTCATCGAGCGAGCAGACCAAAGTCCTTTTTATACTCCAGTTATGGAAGACTGGAAAATGTCTCTCTATCTGCTCCGAACTTGGGAGCGGAGGCAACAAAAAGGGGGATGTCTGTCTAAATCAAACTAACTAGCAGCTCCAACTACTTCTCCACATACCAGGCCAAATCGTTATTGTCGTCCAACTCGTACTCCGTGAATCCATTGCCCATGAACTTGAAGCGGTTGGGGCTTCGGTACTTGATATCGAAGTCCTCGGCGCGCAGGTCGCTGATGAGTCTCTTGAAGAGCAGCGCACTTCCGGGGAACGTGGCCGTCACGCGACCGTCAACGCGGTTCTTCTTGTACCAACTCCGGCAGGCACCGGTCCAGGTCAAGGTCTTGTGGATGCGGTCCCCGTAGGTGACGAACTCGTCGACGACTTCTTGTTTGGGGACGACGGACTTGATGTCTTCGGTCGCGATCTTCTTCATCCATTTGATCATATACTCGGCTACCCAGCCGAGACCTTCGACTAATGAACCGTGACCAACGACGGCGTTGGGGCCTGAATAAAGTAGGTGAGCTTTAGGACTGGCTGATGTGGAAACAGAGACCGGTGGGGAGACCCCCCCACCCGGGGGCGGGGTTGGTGATGAGACTCCTACAACTAAAGGAGAAAAGGACACTTACCGGTGAAGATGAAGTAGTTGGGAAATTCGGGACAGCCGACGGACAGGTACGACTCGGGTTCGTCAGCCCATTTTTCTGCCAGACTGGTCTGGTTCTGCCCGATGATCGGGTAGTGTGGGCAATGGGAAACGTCAAACCCAGTGGCGCAGACGACTGTGAAGAAAAATGCAGAGTTAGTACAGTGCTACGCCAGCTGAGACCCCGGAGAGGCAGTGATGGGGGCCAGTGGGTGGTGACCACATACCGACATTGACCTCCAGCGACTGGCCATCAGCCGTGTGCACGGCATTTTCCGTGATCTTGGTGATTGGGTTCATGTTGAGATGGACGTTGGGCAGGAGGAAGGACTCGAGATAGCCTTCTCCAGGCGTCACCCGCCGGCAGCCCAATTCCCACTTGGGGATGAGCTTCTCGCACAGTTCCTTGTTGTATTGCAGCTTCTCCGACATTTGTTTAATCGCGAACTTGGTGGCGTCAAGGTTCTCTGCTGAATCCCTCACGAACTAGTATGCTTGTTAGCTGCCTAGTCGCCATCATCGCGCACAGCATATGATATTCAGCGGAGAGAGAGGAAGGGGGAGAGAGAGAAGCAGGGATGTCCTTACTAATCTAAAGGCTTTATTAATACGGTGGATGAGTTCTTTTCTGTATTTGTTGTGGTAAACTGGATCTGTCTCAAACTGTCTCTTTTGCTCCTCCGTGTATACTGGGTTGGGGTCTGTTTCGTTTCGGCCGAGGAGCATCGACGGGGACATACGCGAGATGACCCACGTAGGTCCGCGCTGGAAGCTTGTCACGTCGGTGCCCTCGGTCTTTGCGAGGGATGGGAGGATCTGGATGCCAGATGAACCGTTACCGATGAGGGCGATGCGCTTATTCGAGTAGTCGTAGTCGTGGTCCCATTCGGCTGAATGGACCAGTTTCCCTTTGAAAGAATGGAGACCTTCGATTTCGGGCCATTTCCAGAGACTTGTTCGAAGTTAGCGTGTCAGGGTTCTGATGAGGGATGGACGATATCCAAGGGGTTGATCCAGAGGAAAGACCAGAGATCGAGCAACATACTTGAGGAATCCTTGACCGGACACCAAGATGTCGGCGTATTCTTCGCGTTGGACACCGTTGTGTTCGACAACCACTTTCCACGTCCCAGTATCTTCCTGCCAGTACGCCCCCACGACCTTGGTGTTCAACTGGATATCTCGATCAAGGTTCCACTTTCGCACTGTGCGGGAGATGTATTCGAAGATCTCCGCCCCGCTGGCATAAAACCTGCTCCATCGTGGATTCGGGTCAAAGGGGAAAGCCTGGTAATGCAAGGTTAGCAAGTCTCCAGCTCAGAAACAGAGCATAGAAGCATACGTAGAGATGAGCAGCCACGTCACACTGGACACCGGGATACGTGTTGACCAGCCATGTTCCTCCGATATCGCCTCTCGCCTCGAAGATGACGTTCTCCACGATATCTTGCATCTCAGGATGTTGGTATCGGAGCTTATGCGCCAGAGTCAAGCCTGAAAAGCCAGCGCCAATTGTGATCACGCGTAGCTTACGAGGCTTGTAGCTCGGCTGGTTGTTGAGAGGAATTGCAATCTCGCTCTTCCTGTCTGTCGCCGTCTGAGCCTCGCCATTGTCGGCGGCGGTATTTGTTTGTGGCACTGTTACATGCTTTCCGACGCCATTTGGGACGCCATTCGCGACTCCATTGGTCTGGTGGTCTTGCTCAAGGGACAAGGCCCCATCGGAGACAAAGCCAGCAACGGCTGCAGGAGGCATCTTTGGTTGGGTTCAGAGTGATTGACTCTTGGAGTCGAAATCTTGCAGCCACAAGGAGTATCAGGCGCGTATAAAGAATGTTTGCAGATTTAGAAAAGCACTGGGTTCGCCACAGACGCATCTCTGGTTACAGTCTAGGTATTTGCGATTCTGGTAGTTGATGAGCCAGTTTGGGTGATAGTGAGCCGGAGCCGAGAGAAGTCTGCCGAACATCACCTGATTGATCAAGCAAGAAAGGACCTAGTTCTCAGTATCTACTTGATTATTTTGCAGCTGTTGATTGTGGGATCTGATGCTTTCGACTAGGGAAGACACTGACTCCTCTGGCTGACCATACATAGCGTGATAACTTACTTGGGGTCTTACCGGCGGTGGTGGATTTGCCACGTCCGGGGTTTCAGCCAATATTCTCGTGGCAAAGACTGGAGTAACTGTCAAGAAGTAACCGAGAGGTTCCACTTCTATTCCTTACGAAAAGGGCCGCGCAGAGTATCGGATTTCAATGCCGGACCGTTGCCGGAAGTTGCGAACATGCATCTACAGTAGCCGGTCAGAGAAGCCGGGCCCACTCCGACTTATTCCACTTGCCGGCAAGGTGGCACGTGGCTGGTCCTCTGCCGACCACTTCCTCCAGACCCCCTGATTCTAGTTGTGTATCGGCCCAGGTTCAACTTCCAATTCCCCACTCAGCCCCGCAAAAGGGAGCACGGCTGACCTTGGACGAATCTGGGATAAGGGCTCACTACATCTGGGGTAATACTGAAAAGTGCTTGTAGTCCTTCACCATCCCGTCCACATAGAGCTTCGGCATTTCTACTGAGATACGTATGCAATCTTGACTACTCCTGGCGACAATCTCGTATTTGCGTCGTATTTTTCTTCGTGCAAAAGTCGAAGTAAATGGCCGCCTCATTCCCTGACTATGACAGCCTGCCTTTAGTGGATGGCATACCACGTGGTTGTGCCTAGGGGGTGTTTGACAAGGGCGGGCAAAAGGACATGTTGGGATGTTTGAACAAGATCGGGCCCGATACTGTGCTCGTGGCGTCCAACGAGATCAAGCAGGGCCACAGTATCTCCTTAAAGTCAGTAGTCACCGCTATCACCGAGTCCCAACAAGGTCGACACGATGAATTCAACACGCAGTGCAGCAGCCAATGGGATAGTCTATGTGAGTCTGACACAAGATCCGGCATCGGCCTCTGGCTGACAGTCATGTAGGTCATTTCTACCACCGAGAGTCGGCATCTGCATATAGTGGATGCAAGCCCCCTGGTCAGGAACTCGTGCAAGGCTGGGGCGAAGAAGACAATGAGAAGCGTCTGCCAACTCTCGACCGTACGTCACGACGAGACATGTCGCTGTGATAGCGTCATTATTTGGATGAACTAACTGACCACCTCCAGATTGGCATGAGAGAGGGGGCTTAGTTGCCCGTGGTGTTCTCATAGACTTTAAAGCGTATGCGGACAGCAAGTGCCTCGATTTCGCACCATTTGGTGATTACGGCATTTCCCTCTCCCAACCGGAAGAAAGCAAGAGCATAAGGCGTGGCATTCCAGTAAGGCGATGGCTTCATCCTCCGTACAGGTTATACGGAAGAGCTTGAAATAGCCTTTGCAGAACGCTAGCAGGAGTTAATGGGTTGCGGAAAGTGGTCGGCCGTGGAACAGTCCATAGAGGGCGGCCAAATGGTTCTGGAACAAAGGTTTCGCCGTGGTGGCCAGAGACAATGTCGGATTTGAGGTGGAGCACGCAGATGGCACTGCCCCGGGTAAGTCTTTGGTTCGTGCCACACGCTTGTGGCCTTCCCGCCCTACTGAGCTGTATAGTCCTTCACCCTTATCTCCTCAGTCTGTTTGGTATGCCTATTGCGGAACTGAGGGATCTGAAGGCCTTGTCGGCGCATCGTGCAAAGACTGGGCGGTACAGCTTCTTCCTTACGTCAGTTCTCCTGAACGTCGCTGGGGCTGTTGGCTCGCCTCCAAATGCATTGGCGGTTTTCTGAAAAGGCAGACATATGGGATGCGCCATGCAATTCCAGTAAGTCAAGGAATAGATGCTGAAGACTCAAGCAACATTAGCATTCAGGTTTGTGATCAGGCCGACAAGCTCCAGGGTAGAGAATGTCTTTCCTGTTTCATCCTCAACAGAGAACATGCGATATATCGTATCACAACCCCGCAAAGCCAGACTCCAAGATATCCTCAGAAAATATCAGCCACGAGACATGAATTCTTAAGAGATCATGGAGGGTCAAGATAGTCAAGATAGGCTACCAGACTGCTGTTTCTAATAGTAAACATTGGTCTTCCAGGCTTCATGAAGGTCTACTTATCTCTCCCCTTTTTCTTCCTCCAGCATCTGTTTGATAGTCGTGAGGGCACTATCCTTATTGCTGGCCAAATTTAACCTTGGGGGCCCAGGATTGTTGTAGAGGGGAATGCTCCGCCATAACTCCTCGCTCTCTTCCGTGACCTCCAGAAGCGTGCCGGGGGGATACTTGTCATTAACATTCTCGGCCAATGCGAGTAGAGCTTGAGCGATGACGCTGGGATCGAGCAGTTTGTCTTTGGTAGGATCGATCCACTTGGAAACTTTGGGATCTTCCAACAGAAGTGGTGTTTTGATGGACCTAGACAAGGGAAACAACAAGGTTCGGGTCAGCTTTCATCGCAGATTCGGTTGCCGGAGTTCGCAATAAGAGAGTGAAAATATGAAAGGGGCAGGGTCTTTTCTACGTACCCTGGTGCTACCCCCAGTACGCGAATACCGCAAAGTCCTTCTAACCCACTCATACCCATGACGAAGCTCCCAATGCCATGTTTCGACGCTTGGTAAAGGGGTGTGATCACACTAAGGGTCTCTGCGGCAACGCTGGCAACATGGAGAATCACGCCTGTCTTTTTGGCGCGCAGCATTCGACGGATTGCGATTCTGGTCATCTTCATGGGATGGATCAGGTTGACATCGATAACCTTGTAGCGAGAGCCGCTATCCTTATCACCCCAAAACCCGGTCCCTGGCTGTTGAAATTCCGGGAGAATTAGCTTGAATTGAATTTCCTTGCCAGCCGCCCGGCAAAGTCTGAAGCGAAGATAAGGCAATGCAGAGTACATACTGGCTCATAGATTCCCGCTCCCGCACATACAAGATCAGGGACTGTCTCAAACTCCTTCTCGACACGATCAAAGGTTTCCTCGAGCTGCGCCCAATCGGTGACATCCGTCCGCTGGAAGACGACCTTTGCACCAGACTTCTGTGTGTTCACCGAGTCGATCAATGCTTGTGCTTCGGGTCGAAGGCCAATGTCGGCAATCAAGACATTGCAACCTTTCTCAACGAGAGTTTTTGCGAAGGCCAAGTTGATGCCTGTACAAGTATTACCATTTTCAGTGAGCCCGGTCAGACTCCAAGTCAGGACAAGCAATGCCGCAAGTCACAGACATCAAACAAGATATTGCTTACCAGATCCTGCACCTGTTACTATTGCTGATGCGCCATTGAGCTTAAGTCCGGGCATATTCACGGACACTCGCTCCAAACTGTCAAGGTTGCTGAGAAAGGATAATATTGTAAAACCACGAAGAAGCGGTTGGAAATGATCAGGAGCTGAAAGGGTACTATTGTAGGCTGCTGGGAGACTATGCGAACAGTCATTTCTCCCTTCATTGTTAACGGCATGACACCACCGAGATGACTATAGATGATCAGAAAATCAAAAACAACCCCACAGAAAGCGTAAGTAGCCGACCGAGAATTCCTCGGGCCGGACTTGGAGTCTCCGCCAATCAGCCCCGGCAGCAACTGTCCCGGAGATGATGGAAGAAATTGCCGCGTGGGAGGCAGAGCATAACGGCTTGCCGCATGGCGCCGACCTTCTGATATGAACGGTACAAGTTCCAATGATTGGGCCAATGCTTGATCGTGACATGAAGACAGGGCGTTGAATGCTAGTTAGGCTGATATGCCGGCCTTGCCCGACTCAGTCGCTTTAGCTGCTCTGAGCTCTCTGGATGTCTATCTACCTGAGCACAGGAATCTATTGACACCACGTGGCAGCCACGGCCCATGTCTATGAAGTGCCATTATCACACCAGACTCTGACATTGCTCGCCTTGGCCGGATCTTAAACGGAAGTTGTTCTGCTCATGGCTTCTCTCCAAAATGTGCCTTCAAGGCATCTGGCACCTCCCCATTGGCTTCCCCTACGTTCAAAGCGACCAGAAACCGGCTGACCATGTTATAAGCCGCACAAGTAAGAGTGATTTCGACAATCTCTCGGTCGGTAAACCCAGCCTTCTGCAGTCCTTCAAAGATATCGTCAGGAACGGAGATGGTCTTCGTCATAGCGTCACTGTAGCGAAGGACGGCCCATTGCTTGTCGGTCAGGGGACCCTGTTCCTTGGGCTCAGGCTGCTTGACCACGGCGTATTGTTCCTCGGTAAAGCCTGGAGTCGCCGTCAAGAGCGGTGCATGATGCGCCCACTCAAACCAGGCACGGTTGATTATGGCAGGCCGACAGATGGCAATCTCGCGAAGATCATCTGAGAGACATCCTTTCGTGCGCACGGCGCCCAGCAAACTGTTCCAGCCTTTTGGAGTAGTTAGCAACATTCCGGCATCTGTGATGGTCTCGTTGACTGACCATCTGCCATTTTAGGCGTATGCAGCAGGGCCAAGTCAAGGGGCAACAGCTCGCCTGGTGCTCTGCGAGCTCGGATTCGATCGTAAATCTGCTCTTCCTCTGCGCCGAGGCCTTCAGGCGCCTTGGGAGCATAGTCTAATCTCATGTTTGCGCGTGAGGTCTCTGGCGGGGCGAAAGAGGCTCGACTTGGAATGAGTTGGTAGTGCTTTCAAACCGAAGCACAGTCGTCTAAATGTTGGTGTTCAGGGTGATGTCGCAAGCCTGGGCCGCGATCGGTGAGAGCAGAGAATGGCTTAATTAGTTCTCAAGAGTCAACCCTGCTCCCACGTTGGGAGGTTTCTGCAGTGCCGGTCGACCCCGCATGGGCAATAGGCGGCCTAGCCTCGGTAAAATATCCGTTGAGAGGCTGGGACTACGGACCCTTCACGTTCCCTGGTTAACTAGTTAGGTGGATAGAGATGCCCAGCTCCCCGGAACACGGGTGTGTTTAGTTAGACAGCCTCCTAGAACCCTTTTGGAAGAGATCAGGGAACCTTGGCCCGGTGCTCCACATCTGCTTGATTCAGGGTGTGCGAATTCATCTGGACGGCAAGACTCTCTGGTCATCTTCGGGTTTTCACGAATGTCTCCTTCACATTGTGGGCTACAGGAACACCAACACCACCGTGCTTTCCCACTGCAGGCCATGGTACCCACGCCGCACCTAAGTGCCTCATCTCGCAGGCTTTCAGTCTAGCCGAGCTTCGCCAAAGCTTCCTTCAATACAGGCACGCCTAGTAGCAACGTCTGGGCGCCCATCAGAGCTGCAAGCTCATAGACCTCTACGATCATTTCTGGAGTTGCACCCAATCTGATAGCATTCCTGACGTGAGTTTTAAGACCATAGCCGTAAAGATGAGTGGTCGAGCAGTCAATCGCTGTGTAGACTAATTCTCTGTCACAGGGGCTAAGATGGCCCCCAGACTCGGTCGGTGCCGCGGAGTAGGTGATATACGCATCAAAGAAATCGGGTGCTATTCTTTTTTAAAGAAATGATCAGTTTCTTGTCTGCTTTTTGGGTCATGATCACGGGCCGACGCTGCACTCGCTCATCCGCTCTTCTCTTTTGACTTACCGATTGTGATCAACTTCTGATAATGCGGGGCCCAGAAGCCCCGTTTCGCCGTAAAATCAGCCTTGAGCTGCTCCCTATACTCATCGTTGGGTGCTTCCAGATCTTCTTGCGTCATCTTTCCTTCTTCCACCAACACTTCGAATAGAATTGGAAGACCGACGCTGACGGCATGGATCCCTAGCACGCTCGCCCTCATTAGGACCTCCAAGACCTCGCCTTTGGTCGCGCCGGCCTTCAACGCGTTTTCCGTATGGAGACGAATGCCTGGCTCGAAGAGATGCGTGCAAGATGCATCACATGCAAGAAGCATCAATTCTTGCATCTTGCGAGAAAGGTGCCGGTTCTTGAGAGGAACTGAGCGCATTTTCAGGTAGGCAGCAAAGTAGTCGGGGCACGCCTCGAGAACCGCTTCCCAGGCCGGCGTCCATTCTTCCCCCAGCTCTACGAGTTGAGCTTTCAGAGCCTGCTGTTCAGTAGTGGCGGACATGTCTGTAGTGGGCAGCGACAATACCAGGGATGTGAAGCTGGCTGCTGTGACTGAGATGAGGACCACGAGAACAGTAGGCAGAGGTCAATGATCTCGACTTGTTGCCAGACGACTGCTCTTAGCCAAGGTGGAGGAACTACTACTACGTTCAGGTTAATTAGAATCCAACCGATTGAGGGGGTCAAAGCTGGAGTATTCTTCTGAAGTTCCGAGGCTCGAGCACGGCTGTGGTCACTCTCTTGCCGTCGTTCTTACGGGATAGTTGTTGCTCTTGAGACCGCTCGGGACAATCTAGTCTGTGATGGATTTGAGGCTGTTGAGATGCCGGTTTCGCCGAAAATTATTGGCGGCGCTCGGTTCCTCTTTCCAGTCCGGCATTTTGGGGTGGCGGTGAAACTGAATACCTCAATCGACCACGAGGACCTTGTAGGTGACCCAGGAGCTTTTGAGCCTCGTGGATTACCAGGATATTGCATTGAATATCTCATGTGGAAAAGCGCTCACCTCGGTAAACAACAAGTATCATCAGGTCATCAACATCTGGCATTCAACTTTGGCATATTCTCTGTTTCTCACCATGGCAGCTCCCTACCGTCTTTTCTCCCTTTCTCTCCCGCACGGCGTGTCCGAAGAGACATGGCAAAAGTTCTACCAGAGCCATCACCTCGCTGATGTCGCCACTGGGATTGGGTACAACGGCCACGGCACGCTCTATCACGTGACCACGTCGGCCACCGGGCGGGCACCCTCAGATGAGAAGAAATATCTATCCATGTATGACACAATAGATAGTCATCCTCTGAAAAGCGAAAGGTACAAAGACGTGAAGAAGACAAGCCATGTCCTTGGAGAAAACTATTTGCCCAAGGATCTGGCCCATTTGTCCGTCAGAAATTATAAACTGGTGGAGATATTCGACCCCAAGAACATAGGAAAGGAAGGTTAGTCGTGCAGCTCTCCCCACAGACAGTGCAAAGTAGGAATGGGTCGATTGGCTGATGGGAAACGGACCAAGAGAGCTTCATGATGTCTGTTGCCTCTCGTTGCATCCAAACAAATAACTGAGTTCTGTCATACGTAGTGCAACCCGCGCGCTTTTTTATCTGCGAGGAGGCGAACCCGGGTGGCATTGAAGAGCTTCGCAAGTGAGTAACGCCAAACATCATCTCTCCCTCATGTCTGCGCTGGAGACGAAAAGATATTAATCTCGCACGAGGGGATAGTTTCTATCGCGAAGAGCAGGTCCCGAAGCTGGCTCGTTATCCCGGCTACAGACGGACCTTGCTTCATCACTTCCAGTCCTTGGACAAGGGAAATGACTCTCCAGCCTCGACGCTTACCACGCACGAGTTTGATAACCTGGAAGACTTTAAGTCTCCGGGCTTGCGGGATCTTGTGGAAGCTGGGCTGAATAACAAAGTCATGGGACCACAGCAAGCAATTAAGACGTGGACCTTCGAACTTGTTCATGCCGTGTAAAATTTGAATGTTTTGCTGCAGGGACAACAGGCTGGCAAACTGGGATGAATGAAGCTCAGGACCGAGCCCTTCGTCGAGGGAGCTCGGCCCTTGGAGGATCATTCATCTACTCCCGCTATTGCTCTAGCCCCGAAGTATTGGAAACGCGATGCCGCCTCCGACGTACAGTCAGCTGGAAGTAGAAAGCCTGTGTCTCAACAGACCAGATGCGCTGCATGCCGCAACGGCGTGTTGTTGCAGTCCAGTCTCTCCTTCTGCTGGCACGGCTTTCCATGCTACAACACATGTCGCGATAGAACGCAGCCCTTCAAGATAACCGTGATTATCTTTTGTCAGGTTTCCCTTCTATAGAAGGTTTGACTAATGAATAAATTCTGTCCATACAGGACCGCTCGTTCTCTACCCCTGTCAGTTCAAAGCCTGATTCTCTAAGCAAGCTCCTCATACCCTGAGGCAGACACTAGGAGCAGGCATATTTTCCCCGGAAATAACGGGCTCCGCTATTAATCCGATCGACTTGGATTGTAGCTTACAGAAAATGGACCCCCCTACCAGCTTTTTTGGCGTAGACAGATCACGACCGGCATTGGCGCTGCGGCAATTCCCTCTTACTTAAGAACCGGTCATGTGCTCTATCTGCACAAGGGGTATATAGGGGAACAGCTAAACTTTCGCGGCATGGGTTGCTTTTGGGTTCGAGTGTCACCGTTTTCAAATCGAAATCAGGGGCCTCAAAAGAGCAACATATCGTTCCGCAAGCCTCAGCCCGGCCCGGTCTTCAAAACATGACGACCAAAACCCCCACCCCACACAGCCAATTCATCACCCACGCCAACGGGCAAAAGACACACTTCATCGTCGACGACTTCACTGACCCCTGGAGAACAGACGTGCAGACAATCCTGATCCAGCACGGATTCAGCCGGCACTCGAGTTTCTGGTACCACTGGATCCCACGGCTGGCGTCCAAGTACCGCATCATCCGACGTGACCTGCGTGGCCACGGCCGCTCCAGCGACCCGACGCCTGACTACGAGTACACGCTCGACACAGTGCTGGGCGAGGTGCTCGACCTTCTAGACCAACAGATGATCCGCAAGGTCCACCTGCTGTGCGAATCCACGGCTGGGATGCTGGGAGTGGCGTTTGCCGCACGGTACCCCGACCGCCTCTACACGCTGACCGTTTGCGCGACCCCGACGCACTTACCCGAAGCCGCCAAGAAGAAATGGGCCGGCGAGTACGAAGACTGGGCCGCCATCTGTCGTGCCCTGGACGCGAGGGGCTTCGCCGAGACCCAGAGCAGGGTTCCGGGGGGAATCGGACAGCCGGAGAACCCTGCGTACTACGACTGGTGGTTGGGCCAGATCGGTTTGTCTACTGGCGAGGGTCTTGCTCGCACTGCTGCATTTCTGGACAAGCTGGATGTGCGTCCCATGATGAAGGACGTCAAATGTCCGACCCTGGTCCTCGCGCCGACGAATAGCGCAAACACGAGCCTGCAGGATCAAGAAGCATTTCGTGATAGTATCCCGGGGGCTCAGTTGGTGGCGATCAATGGGAAAGGTCATGAGATCTACGTTGACAAGGCCAAGGAGTGTCAGGATGCTTTTCTTGACTTCATAGCTCGCGTCCCGGTGGAACACATTGCCAACGACTGCACCCAGAAAAATTAACCTGCAGATGTGAAGGGCATATATCACTATCCTGTTGGAGTAGATATGTACAATCTGGTCATTGAAATGATCGTATCGACACGCTCAGCTACTTCAAGCCTTGGTTTTTGTCCGACGTGGACTGGCATTAAATCAGGGCGGATCTGCTAAGTTGTTCTCCAAGGAAAACCGAGGCTGGAAACTGTTGTCGCTCGCAGCCCTGGGTTTCTCCTCGAAATATCTCCACCGCACTATAGCTCCGCTCCGTCGTCTGTTTTGGTTGGACCATGCTGGTTTCTGTCTGCATAGATTGTGTTTTCCATGTAGACCTCGATCTGGTTGCCGTAGTCAGTAGGTAAATCCGGAGGACACAGAGCTCAAGGGGGAGGGCCGAACGTACCTTGTCCGTCATCTTGTCGTCGACATCCTTGCACAAGGCACAGGCAATGATTCCGACCACGCCGAAACCGATGCTGGCGTATGCTACATATTGTATTCCCTTCTCGTACGCCATTTCCACCGCTCGACGTGCGGCGCTGACGACCGCGGGCGGGAACCTCTGGGCGAGCTCTGGCGTGTTGAGAGCGCTAAGAAGAGACGGGACCTGCGAGGCCGCAAGTCCAGCCGTGGTCGCTGCTCGCGCAACGTAGCGCTTGGTAAAAGTAGACACGGTGTTAGTGAGCACTGTGGTATAGACGGCTGCGCTGACTGTTGCGGAGCTCGTTAGCCTGTATGCCAATAACGCACGCAAAAAGGAGCAAAAAGGACACTCACTGGTTCCTGCAGCAAAACGAATCACGCCGGATATCCCACCACTGTGGCCTAAATCTTTGTGTTCGACACCCATCTGCGAAATGGCAATGGAGAGATAGAGAGCCCAGCCGTAGCCGGCTTGCGACAGAAAGACGAAAGCCACCATAAGTCCCTGATTCGACGGCTTGCCCAAGGCGAGAAGCGCCCCGAAAACAACCATGACGAACATGGAGCCGGTCAACTGCCACTGCCACCGGCGAATCTTGTTTCCAAAGTAGCTCAGTCCAACTGCGCCAACGCTAATAGCTATTCCCTGGACAATCGACAGGGCTATGCCGTGCTTCCAATTGGCACCACCGTCAGTGTAAAAGACGGAGATCATAGTGGGCCAGAGAATGCTGCTCGAATAGTATGACATGTTGACAATGCCAAGAGCAACACAGGGTGCTGTGAAATCCCGGCCATGCGAGGCAGTGAACATATAGGTCCGGGTCAGCGGGTGCTTTATATTTCCGTAGGTCTCCCAAAGAGCAAAGATCGCTATGACTACGACTCCGACGACTAAGGGGACAACGACATGGAGATCGTGAGATTCGTACATGCCACTCCAAATGATCCCCATTAAGAGAGGGACGGCGCCGGCGGTGAAGAGGAACATTCCTACGTGAGAGAGATTAGTCATTCTGCTCCCTGCTTTTGAGGTGGGAAGGGGACATATGGGTGACGTACCTAGGTAATCTAGCTCCTTGATCAATTGCTTAGGGTCCATGTTGTAGGGATGCGCGGGCGGGAAGTAGAGTAGCAATAGCCCAACAAAGGAGAGGCCTTGCAGAACGGCTGCGACGTAGAAATTCCATCTCCATGTGCCGTTCTCCCAGCCAAATCTACCCGCCACTGGAGCAAAGGTGACGGCACCGAGAGAGGCTATATCAGCCAGGACGACTCCTATGTGTCGCCATCTGTTCGGCAGGAGCTCAGTCACGGCGAAGGCAGCCATTTGACAGGTGCCACCACCAAACCCTGCCAGGGCTATCACGAAGCGATAAGTCAGCAAAAGGCTTATAGCCAGGGGAGTCGGGAGGAGTCGACAACGTCCAACATACCCATTCCGACTATAATGGTGTTGGCGGTCTTTGCGCTGCCAATAACGAGATGGCCGACCACGCAAAAGACATTGCCTCCCACCAAGAACCACCGCCGCCCTAGCAGATCCGTGTTTGCTCCGCTGTAAAACTTTGTAAGACATACCATCGTGCGTATACAGGTTCGGGGTTTGCACCTACCAGACCATGAAGCAGACTGTGATTGACAGTGTCCAAGCAGGTACAAACCACGCCGCCTTGTCCGGATCGCCTTTGGAGGTGGCAACTTGAGTGCCTATTGCCGCGAAAACTGGGACAGGCCAGAAGCACAGTCCGTAGCCCATGGCCATGATCTGCAATGTACAAAAGTTAGACCATTACTCTCGAGATGGAGACGAAAACAACACCGTTGACTTACAAACACGACTATCCATGTCTTTGGAGTCACGACGGGCTCAGTCTCCTCTCCTGCAAGCTCGAAGGAAGAGCCCTTCACTTCGACTTCGTTCAGATCGACCGCATCGTCTGCTCCCTTGGGCTGCGCAGCGAGATCTTGGATTATCTCATTCGTCATGTGGCGGTTCTGGCTAAAGAAACTGATAAATGGAGAAAGAGCAGTGACGCTGCACGTCTGGTAGAGCTTTTGGCCTCTTAAAGGTTTGTGGCTGCATGCTTCGGAAGCCGGGGAAGGTCGAGGGCTGAATTATGCTGCTCCAGGATTCGGCACTACATCCTTCTATATGGCCAGACCTCTTGGATACCGGCACCTGATTTGCCGACTCACGGTCAAGTCGTCGAACTCGTTATCGGTCCCGGCTATTATTCACAATGCCGACCAAGCGCGCGGGGCCCCGCAGGACCCTTGGGATTGGGGTCTCAATTACCGGAGTGTTTTTCACGTGGCGAAAATCTATGTAGGCCTACAGTTGACGGCAGGGTGAGGGTCGTGTCAGGTCCCAACCGCCCGGTTCAGCGCCGAAGGCAAAACTGCCTCGACGTTAGGGCCACATGGAGGAATTGAGGCCTGAAGCAGATGTAGTTCTTGTAGCCAGTGCCGCGGACCAGAAATAGCAACTTTCCGTGGCTTTGCGGGATGTTGTCTCACGTTTGTATATTTTGATAGGAACAGTAAGGCTTCTCGCAATTAATACAGGATGACTCGAAAAGGACGCTGAAGCTCTGGAATAGAGAAGTGATTGTTTCTTACGTACAGTCTGTCTCGAACAGTCCTTCTTTAACCACTTGCCGCCAGTTCAGCGAGCACAATGTAAGATGCACCACTCTCATGGTGTAGAGCTTCTCGAGTTCTGTGTCTGTATGATCTTGAAGATTACTTTTCCACATGCTTGGCCAGCGAGAGTTGACTCTATCGGGGTCATTGGACTGCTTGACGCACAACAAGTATCCGAGAGATGAGAAAGGCCGCTTTACCCGTCGCGAAGAACCAGAGAATCAGACTCTTTGTGGGGGGCAGTGTCAAGACTAGCCGTGTAGATATAAGCAAGTGTAGGTGGCACAGGGTTTTGGTGCCATCCGAATCTGTGGCGAACAAAGGTAGCATATCTCATCTCCAGCTGTGCAGTCTCTAAGTTCTAACTTTTCTTAACCTGCAGAGGGCCTAAGAACCGCCAATGCGCCTTTGTCTTCCAGTCGTTTTCCTGCCATGAATTGATGGTCTTGGGGAAAAAATCAATGAGAGGCAGCAGAGTGAAATCGTGTGCTGTAACAGTGAATATATTTGCAACTCCATCAAACCAGGTCACTTCGTCGAGTGTGTGGGCGGCCGCTTGGTGGTCTTCGTCCGCTGCATCTTGGGGGACGGTGCACATGGAAGTTGTGCGTGCCTTTTCCTGATCCCCTCTTTCCTGCGAAGCGCGATGGAGGGCCGCGTAAAGGGCTCCTGGACAGCGACTCTGTATCGCATCTAACTCGTCGTAAGGGGCGGGACAAATGGTGTCAGGTAGCGGATAGTATTTGCTCGGGCGGAAAAGTGCGCCGTGGTGTACACTATCGCCAGCCAGCATGACGAAGGTATCTCCCCCACCTTCACCAGTCCCAAGGGTTGTGCGGGCCAGGGCACACAGGTGACCCTGTGTGTGTCCAGGAGCATCGAGGAGATAAAAGCTGCCGTCATGAAAGTAGTCGTACGCTTTGAAATTGCCAATCTTCAAGGAATGCTCGCCATCAAAGTGGATTTCAGTTGTCTCGCGACCCTCGTAGAGATCTAAATTTCGTGGTGTCGCCCACATGGTCCCAGTGATGATGGCTAAAAATGATGGCGGAAATGTCCTCTGGCTGTACCCCATTCTCGCGGAGAATATCGGCCGTGTCTTTCTCGCAAAGGACTTCCACGTTGAAAGAGCGAATTATCGCGAGAAGATGGGGGCTGAAATGTGTCCTCCAGTTCGTTCGAAGACCCAGATCGAAGAGAACTCGTGTATTACTGGCTTTGTGGTGGATGAGGAAGCTGAAACTGGGCAAGCTGAACTTATCATACCCTGGATAGGTAGGCTGGAGAAGCAGCTTGGCTGGCGTGTTGGCCATATAACAGGTGGTATCGATCACTGATACCTCGACAAGAGACGAAGCAGGTGGGATCTCAGGCTTCTTCCAGTTCTCCATGGTGGGCATAGTTCGCAAGACACTGTCAACTTCCAATGAATCCCCATTTTCGACACAAAGGAAAAGACCGCCAACACGATATGAAAAACCCCCCCGTTGACTATACAAAGAGATTTGACCACGTTGAGGTTTCAAGGCAGGTTTGCCTTTACGAGGGGTTCGTTCGACAATATCTAGCTTTCGGGATTGCGTTACTCGGCTATGGCCAGGGGTATGCTTTGACTAATGGCCGTTCGGATCGCCCCAATTAGATCGTGCGCTACAGAATACGGTATGCGGGAAATGGTGGAGCACGGTCCAAGATAGACGGGATAGAGTCCATCGAATGTATCCATACAGGAATCGATCCAGAATAACTGGCAGCAAACAGGACGATTCAAGGATATGAGAAAAGAGATAATCTGGTCTAGCATAGCCAAATACTGAAGAAGCCGACAAGAGATCATATTTCAGAAGACCCACGAATCAGGCAAAGTATTCATTACGGTCCCTCTCTTCGTGAGCCTTTCTTCAGCCGAAAGATCCGGGTAGTCCTCGCAAACCAACCCAAGAACCGGCAAAAAGACCGATAGGAAACAAGAAACTGCTACCATAAATTTAGATCGTATCATATTAGTGTAGCCAAAAAAGGCTCCTTTAGAGACCATTCTTGAGCATTGGGAGGGTTTCAAGAAACCCCTGACCATTAGCTAGTAACTTGTCACTAGGCAACACGAAACACCTACTCAAAAGAAAAACTTCAGCATGACGGGAAACATTGGTTTCATCGGTAAGTGTCGAGCCAAAACCACAGTTTTATCCTTCTACACACCAGGACACAGCTGAGAACTGCTATACAGGCCTGGGCGCCATGGGTTACCATATGGCAGGACATCTGAGGCGGAAAATGCCGTCCGAGGACACCCTCTACGTGACCGATGTCAACAAAGCAGCCACCCGCCGGTTCTTGGAGGAGATGGGCACGAAACATGGCCCCGTCAAGGTCGTCAAAACTGCCAAAGAGGCTGCGACCGACGCAAAAGTGGTTATCTCGATTGTGCCGCGCGCGGAGAATGTCAAACAGGTCTACCTTGGTCCCAATGGGGTCATTGAGGCACCTCCAGATCCGGACCGCTTACTTCTCGAGTGCAGCACAATCGACACGAAGACGACGAGGGAAGTAGAGGCGAAGCTGCGTGAAGCAAGCATCGGACGGTACTTCGATGCCCCTGTTTCGGTAAGGTTTTTTTCTTCCTCCCAACGAATCCCAATCGTCTTTCCGACACCGCAGTCCCTGGTGGCAGCCTTGATGACTAAACCCACCATAGGGCGGAGTGATAGGGGCAGAAAGGGGCACTCTCTCATTTCTAATTGGTAACACACCCAGTGAATCCGATCCCATAAACCAGCGTATCCTTGGCATCGTCTCGAAGATGGGACTCAAAGAGCGCATCACCTTCTGTGGGCCCATAGGGACTGGAACGGCCGCCAAAATCGCAAACAATTCCATCGCTTCGGCCACCATCCTCGCCGTTAGCGAAGCTATGGCCGCGGGCATCCGGGCGGGCATCGACAAGAAAATCCTCTACGAATGTATCAGGACCTCCACCGGCCAGTCATGGGTATTGGAGAATAATCAGCCGTGCCCGGGCCTGGTGCCGCACACACCGAGCAGCAATGGCTACAAGGTCTCCTTTCTACCTTCTATGCTGGTGAAGGATACGACTCTGGCTGTTGAAGCTGCTCTTCAGGTAGGGATCAGGCCGACAATGGTGCAAGCCGCTCTGGAAACGTACAAAAAGACGGCTGAGGATCCCAGGTGCAAGGTCAGTGGTACCTACCCGTTGAGTCCTTGGGAGTTTGTGGGATGACCGATCAGGGTTTTTGTCCCTCCATATCGTTGCTTTTGCATCACTGACCGTGACTGGCACCACTTTTAGGATAAGGATTGCACCTCGGTTTGGCTTTATGTAAACGACATTGACGAGGACAGTTGAGTTTGTCCAAGACTTCATTGTCAGAGACACGGTCTTCCGATGGTAATTGACGACTTGCTGCCCACATCAAATTGTTCGGGATGACAAACCACCAGACAGATTATCTGTGGGGGTCTTTGTAGCCTTCGATGGAAGAAACGCCACCTGTGGAGTTGCGATAGAGGTGATGAGAACACAAATTCTACGAGTATATCACTTAGCCTGACCGGATGGAAAAAGGCATCTCTTTCGCGGACAGGAAGCAACCAGAATCTACCCAACGAAGCCAAATCATTTTTCCTTCACGAATCTAGCATGTGTTGTAGACAGTATGGCTTTCTTCTTGCAATTTGCTCTCTTAAGACTCAACTCACTCAAATATACCATAAGGGAACAGGGCCGTCCCCCAAGCTCATGCTATATCACGACCAGCTCATCCTCATCTGGCATTGATTTCCTCCTCCGCAACCTCAGGATAAGAACTACACTTCTTTCAATATGCCTAGATTGAAGAAATAAGGAAAGGGCACGGGTTTTATTCAGTGGGATGTGAATCTATAGCCGCACAGTCCATCGAATATTTTGCGTCATGGGCCAACGACACACATGTATTTCAAGTGCAGCAGCCTCAGAAGTATCTGGATTTCAGAATCTCGAAAATAAAAGTCTGAGAGCCAGGGTCGACCAAGTATCGCTGAGGAGCAGGCCGGATCTCGCAGCAAATGCTTCGTCCTGTGCAAGGCTTTGTTGTCTAGAACGTGCAGAAAATTTAAGGCGGGTACGAAGAGCCTTGCCCTCTCTTTACATTGCTTGCCAGCCGTAGTCGGCGCTTATGATGGCCCCGCTCAAGTAATCAGCATCATCAGAGCAAGCCCAGACTACCATCTTGGCCAATTTGTCGAGCTCCACGGCTCCCGGGTTTACCTCTGCCAGCTTTCTCGAGAGGTTACGGGCTTCCTCATTCACACCAAATTTATAGGCGCTTTGGATGTTAGTCTTCATCACGCCGGGCATGATGATATTGCATCGAATCCCCTTGTTGGAGTAGAATGCCGCCGTGTTTCTCGTGAGGCCCACCAGACCGTGCTTTGCCGTCGTATATGCGACGCCCGACAACCCGCCCCTGAAACCATTGATTGAACCGACGTTGACGATAATGCCGCGACTAGACTTTGCCCCTTCGGCGTTTTGCGTTTCGTCGCCCCGTAGAAATTCTTGGACGGCGCATTTCGACAGTCTCGACGGTGCGGTGAGATTCGTGGCAATTACACGATCCCAGAAGTCCATGTCGACGTCGACTATCGAGTCGAATCGATCCATGATGCCCGCGTTGTTCACCAGGATATCCAGTCCGCCATGGGCATCGACGGCCTTTTGAACGAGCTGCTTCGCGGCGTTGGGATCTGTCAGGTCACATGAGAACCTCTGTAGATTTCCAAGGGGCGACAACTCTCGATAGCACTCTTCCAACATTGAATCGTTAACGTCACAAGCGACGACGCTGGTACCAGCCAGCAGCAAGGCTTTGGTGGCCGCTTTCCCAAATCCACCCGCCGCTCCTGTGACGATGGAGCTTTTCGACTTCAGCGAGATATTCATCCCGAGGGTAGTGCGTCAAAGGGAAATAAAAGATATACGCCTGAACTGAAGTTCGACAATGCTTAGCGGCTGGAACAATGCGTTAGGAAAAGGTTTAGCTAGGATATTTAATGTTGAGTTTACTACATCTATATGTCGGGGCTTATAGAGGCTTATGAGGGCAATATCAAAATTGATTTTCTGAAGATAACCGGATCGAAAGAAAGAAAAGATGGGTCACTAAGTCTCTGGCGGCCAACGACTCAGAACGTAAAGTCATCCGGCTTCGGCTTGCACTCTGGAGCACTAACAATTCGTCGATCGAGGGGTTTCTTCCAGCAAGGAGATAGTTCGCATGTCACATGACTGTCATCACATGACTTAGCCAAGACTCCTGCACTCGCTTATGCCTCCACGTGCCATCTTGTCGTTGCTCTCTCTTCTGTCTCTTGAGATAGTTCAAGATCACAGAACAGCCCACACTGGATTGTTGATAGCTATTGCAACCGTCGCTTACCTGGTCATTACGACCAGTTCCCTCCATCACTGTCCACCTACAACATCGTCCAACTCGTCGAGATCTACAGTGTGTCCAGCGAAGAATGGGATAGTAACAAGGCATAATTTATTTTTACCCCGGAGAGAAGAACCGCTATGTCTATCGCGCATCCTTGTGACAGACGGTGCTGGCTTCTTACGAGGGGGTGGTCGAGATAAGCCCCCCATCAACCACAATCTTTTGGCCGGTAATATATCTTGACTTCTCTGAAGCAAGGAAAGCAATCGCGTTTGCGATGTCGAACCCGTCTCCCATCTTGCCCATCGGAACCTGATTGTTTCGCCTCGCTATCAGTCCTTCCAAATCGCCGTTGGCGTACTTGTCGGCCAGGTAGCCAACGAGAGGGGTGTGCATTAGGCCTGGGACCACTGTGTTCAGCCGCACACCTTTCTTCGCGTAGATGACGGCCGTTGTTTTCGTGAACTGTACAATGGCGGCCTTTGCTGCAGCGTAGGCAACCTGAGGCTTACCTACATAGCGCAATCCAGCCACGGAAGAGAGATTGATGATTGATCCAGAGCCTTGTTTCTCCATGATGGGCAGGACTTCGTGGCATGTGAGGTATACTGACTTAAGGTTGACGTTGGTTTGACCGTCCCACGTCGCCTCATCGATTTCTGCTGGGCCACCAGGCACCGACCGACCGACACTGCACAACTAAGAATCAGCTGGATTCTCGGGATGGATGAAAACTTTCGCAGAGCTCTCAAAATCCCGGGGGTGGCTCGCCGCCTCGCCTCCCCTTGAGCCCTCAAAGACGGTCTTTGTGGCGACATACTTGTTGACTAAAACATCAATGCGACCTGAGAGAGAGAGAGAAGAAGAAGAAAATCGATAATCAGCCGTATGTCACCGTTTAATGGCCGTAGAGATAGTACCGTATTTCTTCATGCAAGCTTCCACAAAGGCCTTTACTTGCGTCGCACTCGTTACGTCTGCTGCCATGACATCGCAAACACCTCCGTCTGCCTCTATGCGTTTTTTGGTGTGCTCGGCGGCGTCCAGATACAAATCGCAAGCGAATACATTGGCCCTACACTCGCATGCGAGCACCTTGGCCGTCGCCGCTCCATTTCCCCACATTGTGGGATCCCCCATCTGGCCGACGCCAGTTAGGAGGACGACTTTTCCATTCAAGTCCCGATACATGATGCCGGGTTTAAGAAGGGTGTTTTCTAAAAAAAAAAAAAAAAAATCTTAGACTGCAGTGGACACTGATGTTGCCATGAGTCTTTGCCTGTGTCGTTGCTCTGATGCGAATCTATGATGGTTTAAGGTGTCGGAGTGAGTTGACCTTGAAGTCGATCTATGTCTAGGATGAAGGGTACTGTTTCGACAAAGATCGGCCAGCCGATGTATGCTTGAAGTTTCTACCCTCGGTCAACAGCAGGGCTTCATAGCCGGGCTAGGAACATTGCGTCGGCATCTTTTCGGGACAGCGACATCCGGCCACGGCCTTCTGATAAAGTCCATCGGCTGGGTGGCTGGTTGGCTTGTGTCAGTTCGAGTGTAAGACTCGGCAATGCTCACATCTTGCTCACGGCGCATGAAATTTTAGCATTGACAAAACCGGCACACATGGAAAAGTAGATCGCTACCGGGCACAGTACACCTTGATTTGATCTAGCCAGGAATTCTATCGTATGGACCTATTCTGCTCTGTTGCCAATCACGGCTACAGAAGCAAGAATGTTGTTCTCTTGCACGGCAACCGCGAGAACCGTTTCTGGGCGTCGTGTTTGCCAGTGTGGCCGGGGTCATTGACATCTCTCCACTGTGCTCTGTGCTCCGTGCTCCATCAAGAACGAAGTTCTACCTCCGTTCTCATGTCGGCTTTCCGTGATAGACTTCCAAGCTAGAAGTTGTGTCATCACCCAAACACCAAAGGATCGACTTGGCCACCACTTGATCCAAACGCGCACCCGAAGGCAGTGTCACGAAAAGCCGAAATCCATGCGGCAGTCCGGGAAAGACATATGTCTGAGTCGGTACCCTGTTCTGCCGTGTTAGAATCTCCTCCAGAGACCGGGGCCGATTCCGGCGAGAGTGCAGAAAAAAACACTCACCCAAGATCCTGCAATCGTTTCGCAAAATACAGTGCCTCATCGCGAAGAATATCCATCCCTGCCGCAATGACGCTCGACTTGGGCGTTCCGCGCAATTCCTCGTCACTCGCAAACGGCACATTTAGACTACGGTCCGTCGGATCCTCGGCCTTGAGGCACTCTGTAAATAGCTTGAGTGCGGCCCAGGGAAGAACCGGCGCGTCGATGTTCTGGATATATGAAAAATTGGGATCGGGTGTGGACGACTTGTAGGCCGGGTGGTTGTCTGGGTGAATCAACCAAGGTGTACCTAGAACTTGGCCCTTGATTCGCCCCGCGAGGGAAGACGTTGGGTCTGCTCGTCGTGTTCGTTGAACTTGATGATATACGACCCAAGCAGTGAGCATCGCCCCAGCTGAGAAGCCACCGACGACGATCTTAGTATTGTCGAGCCCCAGTCGTTCTGCGTTACTCACAAGCCATTCAAACCCGTCGACGGCATCGTTGACCTGCGTGGGGTGTGTGAATTCAGGCGTATGACGATAATTGACGTGCAGGACTGCGATGTTGGTGTTGGCAACAATGCCATAGCATGTAGCGTCCTCGGACTCAATGTTACCGTTCAAATGGCCCCCACCATGGAAGTATAGGTAAACAGGAAGGGGACTTGCGCTTGATGGCTGACTTTTGGGAAAATACAGCCGGCCGATGATATTCTGGCTGTCGCGTGTCGTAATGGCGTGGTCTTGGTGAGTTATCTTTTCACGAAGCCCTGACAAATGTAGGTTCGTTTGTGCTGCTTTCGCACGACGGGTATTAGCGGCATATCGGATTTCTAGAGGCGTCAAGTCAGGATTGAAGCGTGGAATCTCCGTTGTGCGACACAGTTGCTCCCATTCAGGGTTCGGGCCTTGATATTCGGGATATGCTTGCATATTCCCTGGAGGACTGGACTTGTGGTAGGCTTCGCAAAGGAAAGATACTGTCAACCCCACGTTTTAATCCAGGGCGAAGAGCAAGCATGACCAAGGAGCACGTAGGGATTGATTTCCGGCTGGAGTGCACCTATCTATAGGCTCTACTGGTAGGCACCTACAGTAGGTAGACAACACCCAGCCTAGTGCAGCCTATGCAGCCGGGCGGGCTGCCAGTTTCGCTTTTGTATCTGGTGCAGTGGCTGCAATGTTGCCGAGTTTGCCGATGATAGTAGCGGCAATAGCATCGTTTGCTGTGTCAAATTGTCTGTACATTTGGAGTGCAATCCCCACGAGAATCGCGACATGGATAGTCAATCGGGCTAATGTGATAGGTCTATCCGAGTCCCTATTGCAAGGCGATCCGAACTCAATATCGAAGAGCCAGCTTCAACTGCTGTGCGCAGGTACGATAGAGGTCACACTGATACAGTCACGGTCCAATGTCCTGCACAGACGTTGAGCGAGATCACCTTCCCTCTTGTGAAATCCAGCCCATTGTGTTGCGATTTGCAGGGCTGCTTGCTGTCTCCCAATTATGCATATCTACAGGTCACTATTAGAAACAACTTGGACCGGCGGCCCTACGCCCTCCATACGTTATTGTATTGGGAAGGCTGAGATGTCTAGGTCCCAGCAGGGTTGACTGCACCGACCTTCTATCTACTTGTGACCTGTCCCAAAAATGAACGTTGTACGCTGAAATGATCAGCATGAGAATGAGCTTCATTCGCCAGCTGTGGTCGTCCTACGTGTCCCGAACACTGCCGCTGTCCCGGTCTCGTCTTTCGCAACGTTGGTTCGACTACCGTGACTACTTGACACTCAGCAATGGCTTACTATAGACCTTCCTTAAGTCCGTTCTACCGCTCGGGATCTGACAAGAACTACCATGCCTGTTTCTCAGGAGGAGTCACGGTCTGAAAAAGGTTAAAACGGCACACGCCTATATTATTACATGGAGAATGGATTTTTATAATGACGTTACTATTATCAAGCCCTTCGGGGTCGCTAAAACTGCCTCGCCAGATTGGTTCTGTGGATTCCCGCCCTCGGTGTCGGCCGTTCATGGTAATGGCCACGCGGAATGACCCCACATCTGAACATGCTGACGCTCACAGTCGAACAGATGTGTTGAATATCATGATCGTGGGGGCTGGTCTGGCAGGTCTGGCTGCCGCCACCTCCTGTTCTCTTGCAGGACACACAGTCACCATCTTTTAGGCAGCTAAAGAACTCGCAGAGATTGGTGCAGGACTGCAAATCACGCCCCACGCCTCAGGGTTGTTTCGGGGATGGGTTTGGGGGGTTCAGTCCGCGCCGTCGCTGCCGTGCCGACAGTTCTAGCTGTGCATAGGTACAGGGATGGTAAGATTCTGGCAGAGCAAAGAGGTTTCGACAAGATCCTTCAACACAGATATGGTCTTCCTTTCTTTGACATTTATCGAGTTGATTTGCAGAGAATCGTGTATGACAAGGCCGTGTCGCTGGGAGCGTAGGTGCATCTCGACTGTCGAGCGTTGTCGGTTGAGTGCACGGCGTCAGGCCGCAAGGTGACCTTCAAATCTGGTCAAGAATTCCACAGTGACCTGGTTGTCGGGGCCGATGGCTTATGGTCTAAATGTAGAGAAAGCATGTTGAAGACTTCAGACCAACCACTACCGACGGGTGATTTGGCTTATAGGATTGTCCTCCACCTCGACAAGATCAAAGACGCCGAATTGAAGGAATGGATTGCCAACCCACGAGTCCATTTTTGGATCGGCCCGCACTCCCACGCCGTGGCATACTCGATCAGAAGCAGCACCATGTACAATATAGTTCTGCTTTGCCCGGATGACCTCCCTCAGGGCCTCTCACGAGCGACGGGCTCGGTGGATGAGATGCGGGCCTGTTCTCTCTCTGGGGTCCCACCCTCACCCGTTTCCTCGAGCAGGTCGAACAGGTCGACAAGTGTAAACTCATGCATCGGCAGGAGCTGGAGTCGTGGACGAACAGGGACAAGAATTTTGTCTTGCTGGGCGATTCTTGCCACCCGATGCTGCCCTGTCTCACGCAGGGAGCCAACTGGTCGATCAAAGACGGCGGTGTCCTCGGAAGACTGCTATCGTATATGAGGACTAGGGAGCAGTTGCTGTGGGCGATCACCCTGTACGAACGTCTTCGCAAGCCGCGCAGCAAGAAGATCGCCCGCGAGACATTTCTTCAGAGAGGCGCTCCATATCCCCGACGGTCCTGAACAGCGAGAACGCGACAAGATATTCGAGTCGCAGCTAGGCAAGGGAATATCTGGCAAGTTCCCTAGTCGAGGTAAACGAAAACTCTTTCACCCCAGCTACCGGGACCTTTGGGATGGCACTGATTGATTTGATCCAGGGTGTGTCCCAGAGGCCCAGGCCTGGCTCTACGGCTACAATGCATACAGAGGAGCTGATGAGGCAGTCAAGTCAGCACCATATGAGCCATCGTTGACGAGCGTCACGAGCTCTACGTCAATATACCCGTGAGTATCCTTTCTTCTCAGACGAGGGTCATAGTGGTAGGAGATGGTGGTAAGGAAGATCATAGAAGATACGGCGACTCCAGCCCGTCTCATCCCATATTGACAGCCTTGGGGGACTGAACAACCGACGCGCGAACCGACCTTGATGCCATTTCCTCAAGCACGACGGAAGATGGCATTTCCACCGTTTCGGGTGCTAAGTTGTGAGGGCAAATCATTATCTTGAAGTAAGAAATGCCCGGCCTTCCTCCCTACGAGAGCAAAATTACAAAGACAAATCACACCTTAAAAAAGACAGAGAATCTCAAGGTTGAGGGAAAGGAAAAAAGGAAATCCTGCATTGACTATCTCTTCTAGGGACGTGTCAGAAAAAGATATCTGCGTCATATATCTCGCCTTGCTCTAGAAAATCCAACGCCACTCCCCCTCCCACGATCCTTACTCCCAGCGGACAGAGAAGTAAATGGGTTTCGAAATGTTCCAGGTCCCCAAGACCAAGGAACCAGACACATCCTACCGAGCACAGCTCTCAATGCATGACAACCCCGACCCGTGGAGCGACGGGATGGTAAGTGTTGGAAGTGCCAACACCACCAGCTCCTCCTTGGCCGTCATCCTCGGGATCCTCTTCTTCATAGTCATAGTCGTCTCCCTCATAGTTTTCATCCTCGTATGTATCGTCGTACAGCTCATCGTCATCGTCGTATGGTCCTTGACCTTGGGCCGGTTGGGCAATGCCCCCTGCCACGCCGTGGGCCGCCATGTGTGACATGGCGCGAGGAGCTCCTCCTACTCCTCCTGCTGCTGCTGCAGTACCTTGACTCATAGGCACGGCTTGGTTGCCGGTGGCAGTAGATGCGCCAGTCTCGTTGATATCGTCGTATCCGAGGTCATCTTGATCAGCTTCGGGGTCGTCGAATCCCGTGCCGGCTATGCCTGCTGTGGTGCCCCCGTAGGTGGTGGCACCTGCTTCTGGAGTCTGAGCTGTGCTGTAGGTTGTATCCTCGGGGTATAGTTCTGTGTCACCCGCATATTGCCCGTTGGGATCTGCATATGTGCCTTCCAAACCTGTACCTTCCATACCCGTACCTTCCATCCCCGTGCCTTCCATACCTGTGCCTTCCATACCTGTGCCTTCCATACCTGTACCCATCCCGGTGCCATAGTCCGGGGGCATACTCCCATACGCAGGGTTCGCTGGGGTCGATGAGTGTGGCTGGAGAAATTGCCCAGCGATTTGCGGAACGACATATGGAAGGGCTTGCCCGGCGCCTTCCGCCAGAGGATTTAGCCAGCTGGATCCCCCCGAGCGAGGAGGTTGTTGCTGGCCATAGCCGCCGTCTTGCGGAAGCCCTGGTAGGTCGAACCCCGGATCATTCTGTGGCTGGTTTCCGGGAAAAAATTGACCTGATGCTCCTGGCTGCGGATGGGGAGTTTGACCAGATAACCCCGGCTGCGTATGAGGCGGCTCAACTGGTACTCCAGATGGTGCTTGGAGAGGTTGAGACGGTGTGCTCGACGGCCCAGGGATGCCGGCTGGCGGCTCTACCGGCGCTCCTGGTGCCCCTGGTGGTGGTTTCGCTAGGCCAGGTGTGCCAGTCGGTAGACTCGCTGGTGGTGCTGCTGCTGGGGGTGGTGCTGCTGCCGGTGGTGGTGCTGTTGCCGGTGGTGCTGGTGGTGGTGGTGGTGCTGCTGCCGGTGCTGGTGGTGCTGGTGGTGGTGGTGGTGCTGCTGCTGCCGGTGGTGTTGGCTTTGGGGGAGGTGTGGGAGGTGTGGGCTTCTGGGGAGTTGGGCTTGTATGAGGAGCAGAACTCGTGACGGGCTTCGGAGCTGGTTTAGGAGCAGACTTTCCGCCGCCCAGGTTCAGGTGAAATCCTTTGGGCATTGTAGTAGCTTAATTTGGGGAGATGGGGACAGGAGAGAAGACAAGATGTGATCTGAAGGTCTCTGTGGAAGGTAGCTTTTCTCTTCCCCTCTTCAGGGTCCAAAGTCATATAAAATCAATTATATACATATTCCCAAACCATCCCTGCGCTCGACTCATTTCCTTTCGTGTTGCAGGCGCACACGTGGTCTTCTCCTGCGGCTGGCCAGCTAGCCACGCTCACCGACGTAGAGCTCTTGGAGGCGCAGTCTCCGTCCGGACCAGGGTTGGGCCTATTTAAGTCAAGCGAGCATTGAGCTGTGTGGCAGGGAGATACGGACCACGGTCTGTGTGGCCTCTCCTAAGTTGGCTTATGATTATAAACGAGGGCCAAAGGTCTTTAAGGGAATTTGTCCGGGGTTGAGTGTGTGGTCATGGTTGAGACTTTAGTGGCTACAACACTTTTCGTGGATAATGCTCAAGGTAAGCAGATCGCCATATTCGGGCGGGTATCAGAAATAGTTAATGTAAGTAATTATTCGATACAGGCTATTTTCGTGCCTGGGGACCGGGGAGTATTGTGCCCCCAGCAAACTATACCTGTATTGTACACGTGGAAGACGCATTATTGGTTGCCTCGGCTCACTGTGGACATCTTCTGTGGATACAATGTGCCGCCTCCTCGTACAAAGTTACAAAGTACTCCACCCAGCTCGCCCCTCTCGCTCCTTTATCTTCCAATATGGAGCCAAGTGGGAGAGAGCTTTGACCCGACCTGATATCTACCCTGCGCATAGTGCTTATACCGCCACAATTTACTTCCGTGTAGACGCTATGGCAAGATGGCAATGCCTTCTTTGTCATCCGCATCTACTGTAATCATCGGCCAACCAGGTCCCCGGCCTGGCCAGATCGGAGTAGATGGATATCGAAGGGGGCTTTGATTCCATTTTTTCCCTACCCGCCGGCCCCCCCTGCGCCCCTCGTGACTTTCGCCTCGGCCTGACAAGAAATATTACCCCCTTTGGATGTGACCATCGCGGTAGCACGGCCCCAATCCTACTATAGATTGTGGTAAACAGAGGGCAAGCTTCTACTCAGCTGAATTTCCTTTAGCAACTCTTGCGGGCGAGTTACTATTTTTTGCAACACGGTTCAGCAATCAAAAAGTAGATGATATAAAGACACCGAGGCTCTCCTTGGCAACTGAGCAGAACCAGGTCGTTTATATCAAACTACACCACTTCCCCTCTTCCAATCTTTGCCAATAAGTTGTTTCGGCTAGTCTTTGCTTTTCACGTTTTCAATTTCATATCAGTCCACTGTAGTTACCAAATACTCCACACATCATGGGTCTTGACCACATCATCGGCCTTGCCGAGCACGGCTTCCAAGATGTCGTTCATGGTGTTCACGAAATTGCCGATGCCTTTCAAGATGGCTTGGGTCTTGGCCACAATGGCGAGGAAGAAAATGGTCACGATGGTCACTATAGTCATGACGACGACGGATGCCAGGAGGATGGGGACGATCAGTGTGGCGAAGATGGCCAGGACCATGAGGGTAAATACCACCACCACCACTGGGGTCATCATGATGACTCGATGGACCATTGTGAGTTGTCCCGAGGAATCTGTCAGTGATGAGTATTTTTGTCTAACAGCTTTGCTTTTAGATGGGCACGAAGACCCGAGTGATGAACATGGTGACCAAAGCTGGCATCACGACGGTCACAATGGCCACGACCAGAGTGAGCATGGTAAATACGACGAAGAAAACCAAGAAGGTCATGACGGGGAAGACCCCAACGGCCACTGGAATCATTCCGGTGGACATGATGAGAGCGACCCTCATGGTTACTACAATGAACACGAGCATCAAGATGAGCATAACCCGGGCCAGCATGGGGGCAATCCTGATGAACACGAGCATCAAGATGGGCACGACCCGAGCCAGCACGGGGGTCACTATGGCCATGACCAAAACCAGCATGGTGAGCAAGACCCAAGTCACCATGAAATGGGATCGGGTCATAACGATGACTGCCATCAACAGCAGCATGATAACAGCAACCACCACGACCCTCAGACGCAGCAGCATGACAGCAGCAACCACGATGATCCTCATAAGCAGCAAACAGGTGGTGACGGTTGCCACTGCCCTCCACCATCCGATGATCATGCTCACCAACACCAAGAACAACAACCACACCACCAACAAGAACAACAGCAGCACGAACAACCACATGGGCAACAGCACGAACACCAGGGGCATGATGACTGCCATGACGAGAAACAGCAGCAGCATCACGGTGGCTCTCAACATATGTAATACAGTTGTATCTAGGTTACGGAAGTGTCGGGAGAAGTTGGGGGACAGTGAGATATTGAACGATGGTGGAGAGCAGGGCTCGCTGCTGCTGCTGCTGCTGCTGCTGCTACTGCAGGGAAATGGTTGCTTGATTCAGCATATAGTAAGCGGGTTACTGGTACTTTCTGCGGGTGTTTTGTCATGTTTTGGTTGTAAAATTGGCAGTGCTTATGAGTAAACTCATTCATTTATCCATATCCAGAGCCTCAGTCCCTCTACCTTTTCTTTTCCTCCCACCAACCACCAGATATCTGGGATGTCTGTCAGTCTTGGCTTACTGTCTACTATTGACAAGGCTTGTAGCCCCGATATCTCAATCTTTACAGCTTTTCACCTTTGCGGCGTTCCAGAAGGCATGTATATGTCCTGTCAATGTCATAGTCAGATGGTATTTATTGGAAGGATCCAGGTAATCCGAGACCATGTCAGCTGTCACAGACTCGCAAGGATCGACTCGTAGGGCTACCATTACTCTGGAGTCCATGGCATTGTATTCCGAGTCTCCAGTAAAAAACGAATCTTCAATATCCGGGCAGGCTGAAAGATATTGCCTCCGGCTTCAACACAGCTCAGATCCAATGAAACGCCGTCTGCGGATTGGGAATCGTGGGTAGCACCCCACTCTGTCAGATTATTACACCGAACGTTGCCGAGGACGTAGATATGATCGCCATAGTGTCGCCGGATGGCGTCTGATGTGGGAAGATGTAAGATAATTTGGTGTGGAAATGTGGTACCCGGACACCATGACTGTCGTCCTTCGGCGAGCTGCTGTGCAGGAAGGGGTGGAGCTTTCATGCGTAGAATGGTTGGCAGTGCATCTGACTGTCCTCTTCAGCTCCCGAGCATGAGAAGTAGCCATGATCTAAGCAATCTTCCCAATATAGAGGCAGGGGTTCAGCTAACCAATCGTGTAATAGACTGTAATGACAAGGGAGAGGAGGGGGCACGCCAACCAGGCCTGGGTGGATCGACCATCCATGCAACCTCTCTGAGCCTCGGGGGCGCTTTTTGTTCAGTGGATAGAGGCGAGGCACAGCACTGCTTAAGTTAGTACGTGGAGAGGCGTCCCGTACCGGTTTCCCCTCTACTTTACGATTTCAGTGTGAGAGAGATAATCACCTTTTGCAGAGAAAGGGTAGAAAGCTATTCAAAGCGTACCTAGGGCCACTTCGTGTACTAAAATTGGTTGAACTCAGCCTCCGGTGCCCGATCCCGACTCACCTTCCCTCCCCCCCGCCGTATACATAGAGCACATCCATATACAGGTCGAAGCCATCCTGGTAGAATCCAAGAAATAAAGAAACTTCCTCCTCATTCCACTGTCCTTTTCAATCCTATATATCAGAATTCCACTCGTTAAAACAATTGCTTTTGGCGTGTGTGTCAGTCCTTGTCTGCGTTTCCTTGGGCCCTGTTTTGGCGACTCCGACTCTCCTTTTTCGCTGTTTTCCTAGTCTCCCACACATTCCCTCAATATGAACGCAGTATCAAGTATGAGCCAGGGGATGGGCTCGATGGGCTCGGGGATGTCACAGTATTGGAAGAAGCACATAGCCGGTAAAGTCACAGTGCCTCGCTGTGTCATGGTCAATGATATGCTAATGCGTTGCGTTAGACAGTGTTTGGCTTCGCCTTTTTGTATATCTGCTGGGCGCTCTGGCGATTCTGTTCCAAGGTAAGCATACATCCAATTTCATTGTACCTCCCCCATCATGAACCTAACATGATACTGACTTCTGGGTAAAGCTCTTGTCATTCTGGGCGACGTACCTGGAGCACAAGGTTCGGGGAGTGGGACGTCGGGATACTATCTTTTACAATTCAACTCCGTTGATGGACTGGCAACAACCCGGTTACGCATCGGGTATACAGGTTTGTGGCTCCCTTTGACGCAAAAGAATGAGAATGGCCTGGAAACTCACCATGTTCTGTAGCAATGTGCTGTTCGCTCTCAAGTGGCCCGGAGCACTGCGCCATCACCGTCGGCAAAGACCACGCTTCCAGTATCCGATACCTGTCCATCGGGACCAACAACATCTACGACTTTGAATCCTTACCTGCTAACCAGACGCTCAACTCGGTGTTGTTTGAGGTAGCAGCATCCCTGCAGAATGATGTCTTCATTGTCTTCCCTGCCATCCCCGGCATGTTCCTGGCACTCGGAGTCATTATGTTCGCCTTCTACGGCGCCCTGAACAAGCCTTGGGTCGGCCCAGCATCGTCATGGAGACAGTCACAACGGAACCGACGACTCGACATCCTGCGGATCGTCATGATTGTGCTGATCGGACTCTCGGCCATCTTCGCCTTCGCCGCGGCAGTGTCGAACTCGCAGATGTTTGCGGCGGTCCAGCTCGCCACGAGCCACAACGAGCAAGCCCCCGGCATCTTCCAGGTGACCAAAGGCAGTGCAGCCCTCGCACTACACTGGCTAGCGGTCATCTGGACCATCGGCTTCTTGATCGGTATCATCCAGACACACATCGAAATCAGCGCCGTCAAGATCAAGGTCAACCCTAGCGACACGGCCGGCACGACGGGCGGCAGCCAGTTCCAGGCGAATGGCAGCACAATCGAGAGAGCGTCACTCCTCAAGGATGCGGAACCTATGGCGATCAACCCAGCTGGTCTGGCTCCGCAAGTTCCCAATCCCAACTCAACCAACGGTGCTGGAGGGGCTGGCGGACCCATGGGCGCACGAGGCGGTATGAGGGGCGGCGCTCGAGGAGGGGCTATGGGAATGCGGGGCAGAGGCGGCGCTATGGGCCGAGGGCGAGGCATGTAATACGACTACCGCAGCTATACCAATGTGGGCCAAGCTTATTTTGGGGGTGTATCTTATCTTTGCTTTTTTGGCGGCGGCGGTGGCAGCGGCGGCGATGGGTATATTATGGCAAAGTGGCTCCGAACGGCGACCAGGGGGTGGCAAAACACACAAGGGAAAATGTGCAAGGTATATTAGATCAGCTTCCACAAGGAACCGAAGCTTATACGAACTCCGTAACAGACGGTACATTCCAGTCAAGCTGAGCTTGTTTTTTCTTTCCCCAGTGCATCTAAGCCTCTTGTCTGATTTGTTTCACCATCAGAGTAAAAACACCTTGCCCCATCTACTAAGCACAGTAAGTGTTTGGTGTGCTTTCAGCATTGCTGATTTGTATGAAACAAACGACATGGTGAACTTACACTGGCAGCAGTTTCGGTCTCTAAGGTGTTGTCTACACACACCATGCCACTCCGTGTCTATATCAGGTCCTTGCGCGGATCGCAAGCTCCGGTAAATGGAGCATCTTGTAACTGCCTTCGACAAGGAGTGTTACTACTTTGTTCATTTTTCCAGCCCATTGCCCCCTCAAGCCTACAGGCTGATACCCCCCACTCCCCGTAAGCCTGACTGACGGTGGCCAAAGAGGCACTGTCAATGAAGGGCATTGGGATCTGTCTGCTCCTAGTGCCCCGAGTATGTAGAGAGCTGCGGTTGGATCGCTTCCCGATTGAACCGATCCTACTTGGGAATAGATCGGGGGACTAGCTCCCAATGGAGACTTTATTCCTGCCAACGCCGATCAGCTGGCCACAACGGTTAGGCTCGGATAAAGACACGGCCATCAATTCAAACATACCAATCATGCACTGAACCATCTAGAATCTCACTGAGAGTTTTGGAAGCTTGTCAGATGAGGACAGGAGGGGAGAAGGAGGGGGGGGGGGGGTGGCTTGCTTGTCGCTTACTGACTGGCCGAACGAACCAAGTACGAGGTGCGAGTATTTACGATGGAGAGCCATCATGAACGCTGTTGGTTGGATGGCGCCAACACCGGGTCTGACCTGCCCTCCGCCGGCTAATAGTGTGTGTGTGTGGTTTCGAGGGATCGAGGGATGCACGACCTATCAAGCCTTCGTTGCCTCGTGACTTACGTTGACCAGCCCCCGCCGCCGAGAGATATGTCGGAGTGCTTAATCCAGGTTGGGTAAGGACCTAATAAGAGCTAAGACAAATAGTCAAAATGAGCCGTGTGTGTACTTGTAATCAAAAAAGACCAGAGACGGCGCTTATACCGAGTTCGGTAGAGGCACTCTGTATATTGATTACGCGCTAATCCATATCGGGAAGATTATACCATTATTCTCCCGGGGGCCAAACTCAATCGTCATTAATTGTGGGGACTTGCCCTGTTTGGAGGACCTCTCGTTCAACCTACCATATACGGAGGGGTCGGAGGGCCACATGCCCCCATGCGCCCTGCCATACCTCCGATTCCCCCAAAAGTGCTCGAGCCCAGACCCATGGCTCGCTGCCCCCAGATAAGGCCTGCCGCAGCAATGCCTATTTTCACATCAGAACGACTTACTCGTACTGGGTCGGTTATGGGTACTGCATGTATGGAAAGCAAAAAGCAGGTTTTCTTCTTGTTTTTTTTCTTCTTGTTGTAACTCACTAACGGCGCACCGCCCGATCTTACGCCCTATTTTCTTTCCCACCTTTGACCAACTTTCATCTTATAGGGCAAGGTGGCAGTCCCAGTGGGGCACACCCGCCTGGTGTCCGCAGGGCGTCGGTCTCGCGTGTTTCGGCGTTGCGGACCATCCCATGTATGGCCACGTCAGGTCGCTGCCATATCTTGGACATTTTCTGTCGGGCGGTTCTGGCGGCGGTTAACTCCGCCGCATTATCTGACGAATGGTCATCCCACTTCATGATGCTCGAGCCTCGTGACGAACGCATTCTTCCTCCTGCAGTTTGGGAGTCATGTTACTCATTCGGTCACTAAGTCATTGAAAAAGGGGGGAAAATGTATGGACAGAACCCCTCCAAGATAGAGACGTTTATAGGTCATTCTTCTTCTGACACGGGCAAAGCGCCCTTCATTCCTCTCGGGGAGTCCAGTCACCAGTACCGAGTAGGTAGCCAAGCTGTGATCGGCAATGCCCCAGTTTCAAAAACGAAATCAGACAAAAATAAACTCCAACTTTGGTTCCCCTCCCTCCTAACCCAAACCCCCGCCATAACTAAACATTAAAATGTTTTTTTATCTAAATTCTTCGCCGTAGCCATAATAGTCATCCTCGCGATCACGGTCGCGGTCGCGCGGGTCCACCAGCATCCGCCGGGACGAAAAGCCGTCCCAGTAACTCGAATCGGGAGGGCTCATGTAGTACGGGGCCTTCCTCCGCTTGAACATGACGGGCGGCATGTCGTATGCTTCGGGCTCTCGCAGTCGAGTGTGAGTTCGCCGGCTAGGCCCGACGCAGAGGGTGATGCTTGACGTCAAGGTCGAGATGAGGAGCAGCGCGACCGCGATCCACACCAGGGCTAGAAAGGCATTGCCTTGTTTGGCCGAGACGCCAATGTCCTCGCCGTTGGCGTTGACGCCGTTGACGACAATGGTGATAATAGCCGTCGTGATGCCGGCACAGATTGTCAGACTCAGTAAAGCAAGCTGCATTGGTCCTGTCAGCATTGTGTCTGCCCAGGGGGTCAGAGGACATTATCACTAGGGAGACCTACCACAGATGTGATGAGGAGGAACTTGACGGCCGTTCTGTTGGTGGTGAACAAACACCACAGCGCCGCCAGAGACGCAAGGATCAGGCAAGCAAGTCCAATGATAAAGAATACGATCATGGCTGACCCTGCAGACTGTGCATACACAAAGGCACTGGTGATACCGTTCGGCCAGTCCAGGTCGTCGAACGAAATATCCTCCCCGAGGGCGCTGCCGAGGTCCTTCATGGCTTTCTCCAGGATATCAACGAGGTCGAAATGCCGCGTCAATGACGGCTTCTCGCACCGAGTAATGACGGCGTTCGCATCGTCGTCCTGGTACGACGGCAGGTAGCTGCCCTCGCAGTAGTTGATGACATAGACCGAGTAGTATTCGAAGACATCCAGTTCAGCATACCCCACATTGAGGGTCCCGTTGACGACGGCGGTCCCGTTTACCGTGAGGACGCCGTCAACGAACTCGACACAATTGCATCCGTTGCCGGTGCCGTTGTTGAATTTAGTATGTGCTATTTGTGATATGTTGAGCTGGATTGATTGAGAGGTCAGCTAACTTATCCGAGAGAGATTGGAAAGCATGATGCAACAACTTACACTAAACATATCAATATCGGCCAGTGTGGTGGTGGTGTACCCGGCCAGCAGACATACGAAAGTCAAGCCCGTGGCAGCGAGCGCCGAAAGCAGCGTCAACAACGGGGAGACTCTCATGGTCTACCCTGGCCTTTGCCCAGCCCGGCACAAAAGCAAGTGGTATAACAAGTTTGTGAATGGGACAGGGTGCGAATACAGATGGCGGACTGGCTTCTCTCTCTCGCCGGGTTGTGTAAAGAGCGTGTTCACCGTGTTCAAGGAAAACGCCGAGAAAAGAAAAAAAGAACTCGTAAAGAGTGACTGATAGGTGCTGCAAGAGAGTGTGAGCAAATGCGAAAAGAATGGGCAAAAGTGAGCACCCCGACCACGATTAAACTTAAGAGAGACACGGTCAATGCTGTATTGCCCCCAAAGGGCTATGGGTTATGGGCTGTGTAGATGGGGAGGGGGGGTTAGAAGAGAGACTATGACAAGTGTACAGCCTTGAGACGGATGCGCGGTCTAGTCAATCCCCGGTTCCTTGTACGAGGAGGTACAGCTTGTATCCATCATTCACTGGGCCAGACAGTCAGTAAGTCTGTCCGTTAGTCAATCGTTGTGCCGATCAAGGGGCCGATGTCCTTTTGCCGCGTTGCCACATGAAGCATTAGTCTTGTCCCCCGCTTTGCCCAAAAATACATCCTCCTACTGGCGCCACCTGTAATCAGTAGATATGGTGAGATGCCTTATTTAAGCTGACCCTCTCTGGCCAGTCAGGATACCCTACTATAGTTGCGGCTTCTAAATCGGTTGGCCGCAATGGAGCCAACCCTCCATGGCTTGCGCCACATTCACTCCGGAACTTACCTTTTGTGGCCTGGGGAGTATTTTCTGCCCTGCCTATCGGCGGCTCTAGATGGTTGCAGGGGTTTGTAGACATTTGGAGTTGTAATAACGGCGCTTGGCATGGCCGTCGTCTTCCGTTGATATCGAGTCTCGCGTATGGCACAGAACAAAGGTGAATCAGAATCAGTATGAGTAGCATTTGAACTATCTTCAAGGACCAACATGAAAGCCTCCCTAACCAGATGTTCGACTTCTTGTCCTACGCCAGCTTCAATGGTCTACATGGTATTCATTCAATCATCAAACAGAGTTCCGCATAGACTCAAAGAAATAGTTTTGATACCAAGGTTTACAAAAATGAGTGTTCTCCTCCGCGGGCATGTTACAGACGACATGGTGCATTTTCTCCGTCATGATGAAATATAATGTTTAGTTTCCCCCCAGCATAAACGTAGAACACCAGTAGACACAAAATACATTTGACAACGCGTTAGTTCCCCTCGGTCCTGGCTTTGGGGTCATTACGCTCGTTCAGGAGACGGAGCTAGAAATCCTATACCCCTTCCTCTCATCGCATCGTACCCAGCTATGGGCGAGCTCCCGGCGGCTGAAGGAGATCTGTTGAGGCTGATATTGGCCGTCAGACTGGGACTGCGAGGTATTGGGCGCGAGCCAGCAGGGGGGACAATAACGGGTGTGGTCGGTCTCGTGCGGTCTCTTGGTTTGCCAGGGGTTTTCCAGAAAAGATTGTGGAAGAAGGACTCTGTCGGAGTCGGTGTAAGGGCAGACTTGGTGTGTTCGGAATCGATGGGCTTCACGCTCAGGCTCTGGTTGCGGTTGATGCCCATGGCCCGCGACTCGAATGGGAAGCCCGCGGGAATCAACGGTGTGCCTGTGCGAAGCACTGGAAGAACGGCAATATTTGGGGTTGGGGGAGACAGCGGTGGGATGGGAAGTAGCGGAGGTGTGGGAGGGACAGGGAATGTGTGGGTGATGGTCCTCGTCGACGAGTGATGGTGGTCGACGTGGCTGCTGGAATGATGTGATGATTCAGAGTCCCTCCTGGTAGCCAGCATTAGGATACAATGGATCAAACACGGCGACAATGCCTCACCTTACCAGGAGTTGCTCCCATAGTATTGCTGTTGATGATGATGGTCGGACTGGTAGTTGTTGTTGCCCTGAGAGTAGCCATGATGGTAGTTGTTCTCATACGATGCATCATACTGGCTTCCATAGTGATTTTCGGAAGCACCGTAGCTGCGATCCCCCCCATGCATGTACTCCTGGCCCTCATTGTAGTGGTTGTGGTAGTACTCTGGTGATTCTTCCTCTTGGTACCAGTAGTCGTCCTCCCAGTACCCATCATCGTAGTCGTAGTCCCCTCCATAGCCCTGACCCCATCCATCATGACTGTAGTCGTTGTAGTCGTCGTCGTCGTAGTCGTAGTCGTAGTTGTGGTGGTAATAGCTGTAGTCCATGGTGACGAAAGTCAGATCTAGACTCGTCTCTAGATTTGGCTTGTGCAAAGAAAAAGTAAAATATCCTGTTGGATATGGATAGAAAATGTACCTTCTTCAATGACGTATCTATACGAAAAGAATGTGTGTTGGCCCTGAGATTGTGGTTTGATAAAGAAAAGAGTGACTATTATGCAAAGTAAAGCACCCTTCCCACGGCTGTCTGACCTTGGATCGAATGTGATCTATTTCTACTGGCAAAGGACGGTGCCTCTCGGCCCGACAGACATGTAGACTACCCTAAGCCAATTGAGGCATAGGGAATAGCCGATGGGTTCACGAAGGACACCCGTATGCAGCGTGGCTTGCTTGGAGCACCTGCTAAGCCTCGTGCACCTGGCACCGCAGATGGACATGCCCAATATTAGTGACATTGGTGATAATGGCGACATTGGCTGAGAGGGGCATCCACAACCAGGTCGGGTAAAAACCACTCGGGGTCCTGACACAAACTCGGCTTAAGAATAGAGTATAAGCTTTTGACTTCGCCTTGACCCATAAGCGAAGCAGGAGGAAGGAAGGGGGGAGTATAGCCCAAGAGGTATGCAGCTTAGCTTATCCTCTTGTCGCCGAGGACCCGCAGCTGATACTTGGCCAAAGGAGGGGAATTAGAAGAGGGGTGGATTGGCTGGGTCATTACATTCTATTTCAAGGATCCACTATATGATTACCAGACACGCTCGGAATAATGCTGACCTGTAACCAGTCTGCCAGTCTGCCAGTCAAAGCAAGTTGTGTTGCACGGCAGTGGATCCTCTGACGGCTGCCCGTCCCGCGAATGGCATAGACTTTGCTCCACTCTGTAACCATCTTGTTTGGCAATCATACTAGCCAAAAGCGTCTTGGGATGGATGGTCGTTTCTTCCCAGCGGACACCAGCGGACGCTCAGCATGTGAGTAAAGCGTTGGAGGACGACATTACTGATTTCCACCCACCCCGGGCCCCCCAAACCAACTAATCGTAATCACTTGATCTAGAAGGATCTATTATCTCATGTCAAACAATACCATTCTCGATATTCTCTCAGAAAAGACGTGCTTTGAACTGCGCAAAACAAACAGACGCTGGATTAGTTCACCTTCCTATACAAGTACACGGCTGAAACACGTTCTAACCCCTCTGCCGCTCCCAAAAGGCGCTGGCCTGGCCAGATCCAATGGTGGGAATGTACAGGAAAGGATCTGGTTTCTGCTCTGCAGGCAATCCCCCTTTGTACTGCTGACTCAAGGGGTTAAACTGGATGTCAGGGTGCCTCGGTGAGAGTGGCGGCGGTGGTGGCAGGCTCTCGTCCTCGTCTTCGCAGGTCTCATCTTCCCATTCCTCCTCCTCTTCGTCTTCCTTCCCTGACCAGACTCGATCAGCACTAGTTCGGGGGCTGAATGTAGTCGTACCCGCACGTCTCATGGAGGGAATCGCATCTTCTCCTCTTTCCCTGTCTTTATCTGTTGGCTCCTCGTCCAAGCTCGTAGGAGGCGGCCGGTATGGCACGTACTGTGTCTTGGGGCTTTGGCTGGCAGCGTAGCGTGGGATCTCAGAATATCCGGGCAGCGCGTCGTTTGGTGGCGGGGGGAGGAAAAAGAGGTTGTCTTCGGGGTGATGGCGCAGTTGAGTTTGCTCTTCGTAATTTGGGAGCTGATCGTCGTCATCCGGATATGCAAGGTCTTCCAGAGGTTTACTCTTTTCCGGGTCTTGATGCTCTTGATGCTCTTCATGTTCTTGCAGATGGCCGTGTTCTTCTTCCAGATCTGCATAATGGTCCAAATCTGCGCCGTCATGCTCTTCCCAATACCCATGCTCGTCCATATCTGCGTAGTGGTCCAAATCTTCGTGATCATGCTCATCCAGATAATCATGCTCGTCCAGATCAGCGTAATCGTCATGTGGATGGTCTGGGTCCTCGTCGAGGTATTCATCGTCCAGGTCGTAAAGCGCGACTTCATCGACGACCTCCTGGTTTTGGTCATCTGAGACAAGTCCGTAATCCGGCTCTTCATGCCACTCACCTCCTGCTCCGTCTGTGCCTTGGTGATAGTGATAGTTCTCTGCACCTGGATCCCAGTCGTTGTATTCCTGATCGTAATACTCATCGCCGTACTCTTGGCTTTCGGGATACTGGTGGTTCCCGTAGTTGTTGCTGTTGGGACCGTTGTAGGCTGCCCGTGGATAGCTGCTAGCATTGGTGTTCTCAGCCTCGCCCATTGCATATGTCTCGTTGCCATAGCCGGACGGGTCGTCCCCATTGTATTCGGTGTACTCTTCTCCCTCATACGTCTCATCGCCGTTGTCTGGCTCATTGTATGCCCCAGACATGTAGTGCTCTTCATAGTAGTTCTCCGCTGCGGTCGAGGGATCGTACTCAGCAGGATACTCATCATCATAGCCATTGCCGTATTCATATTGGTCTTCTTCATATTCATGTTCTTTGTTCTCTTCCCCTGTGTAGTTTCCTTCATGATCCGCATATTCTGTTCCCGCGGCATACGACTCGTTGTACGCGTCCTCCTCGTAGTATTCGTAGCCATTGTCCTCTTCCTGCTCCGGGTATTGTTCATGTTCTCCCTGCGTCTTGTGGTCTTCGCCATGGTCATGGTCATGGTCATGGTCGTCGTCGCCAGCCTGCGAGGATGCGTTCCCCTCCTTCTTGCCGCCAAGGATGTAGTCGGTCAAGTGTTTGACGACGCGAGATCTATCGCCGCTAGCAACGGCGTCTAGCAGTCGCGCGTATTCTTGAATTTCATCACGCCAATCCTCGTCGGGCATTGCTCATTTTGTTGAAATTCCCGTGGAAGCACTGCACATTTCATCCTGCCCATGCACGTACGTTAGCAAAAGTCGGGGCTCCTTGTACCGGGGACAAGGGGACATTCTTACGCCGGAGTTTGGAGTTGAACATGGTTCAGAGATGTGGGAGTTGTTCACGTAAGGGCGCAGAAGTAAGTCGGGATGGCTGTGACATGCGTTCCGATATGCGTCAGAAATAGGGCCTTCACCAGGTTGTCGTGTCGCGCTTAGGGCTACTTGCCAACTGTGTCCAAGTCGGATACTGGGCTTAGAATGCATCCCACAGCCTCCTTTGGTGATTGACACTCTACTCTACAAACTCCAAGAAAAGTAAGCCCATCATTTACGAATACAAAGTACAAGAGCGAAAAATAGAAGCGCCCAGAGAGAAATCCGCCCTCCCTCACCTCAGAATAGCTTGTAGCATAGCCAGCATACAATTGGGACAAGCCAGCGGCGGGCGATGTGGGTTCATACTCGTTCGGTATCTTTGACGACCCACAATAGTATTATGCCACTATTACTGAGGGTCCCCGCCTGAGCAAATCAAATACGGGCCACTAGTGATGTGATGAGTGGTGGTATTTTTTCGGGATCCGGCGGCGGGGGCTGAACAGGGAGTGTACCTCGTAGGTATCCATCCATCCTCCTCTTCTCGCTTAATCCGGAGCGCTATGCCTCAGACCTGGTCCAACGTTGGTTTGAGGCGAGGCGCAATACTGGGGTGAGCATTGTGGCTTTGGGATCCTCTCTCCACCATCCTACCAATACTCGCCCCGTACTTCGTATAGGGAAGAAGAAGGGAAAGAAAAGAGAGCTATTATCACATCCAAAGCTAAAATTAGTTGCAGCTTTTCCATTCGCGCCAGGCACATGGAAATGCCATGATGACTACGTTTCTGGCTGGGCCCACGGGTCTCCAGAGGATGAGCAAGAAGGAGAGCAGAAGACAGACAGCGACCAGGAAAAACCCAGGAAAGTCATCTGCTCAGATTACGGTCCGAATTTAGAAAACGGTCTGGCTATAAGGATTCACAGAATCCTTTTCCTCTTCCCCGTCCTCACTACTCAATCAGACATTTCAACACAAATAAAACATCAGAGACACATCCTCCTCAAAGGTTCACCAAAGCCACCTCAGACCTTTTATAGAAGCTCTGATAAAATCACTCTTCATCTTTCCCTCTCACAGAGTACAAACCGAAATCACATCACGCAAGAATGGCCCCTCTCGGCGCTTTATTCGGCGGTTTGTTTGGCGGTGACAGCAGCAGTAGTTCTTCAGATGCCAATGCCAGCGCCGACTCGTCGAACTCGAACACAAACACTGCCAGCGGCGGAGCGGGAGGATCTGGAGGATCCGGAGGTGCGGGAGGACAAGGAGGCTCGGGAACTGGTGGCAATGCGGCCGGAGGACAGGGCGGCAGTGCGGCCGGGAATACCAATGGACCCGTGACAGGTACGTTTTACTGCCTTGATGTGAAGATTGGTCCGGTTTGCACAGACAGATTCTAACACACAGTAGCTGGTGGCGCTACGGGAAACTCGGTCAGCGGCGTCACAAGCCAGAGTAACGGGGGGAACACGGCTATTGGGCCAGTCTCAGGTGGCAACGCTCAAGGCGGCGATGCAGACGCTGATGGGGGAGACGCCAGCGTCGGCGGTCTCGAGAACGGAAACACTAGTGTCGGTCCTCTATCCAACGGGAACACACACGTTAACGATGAGTTCAACCCGACTTTCAACCCCACGATATCATTCAATCTGCAGGGCTTTGGAGATTGCTACAACGACCCACAACACGGACAAATGTATGGACAGGGCATGGCAGCACGCGCTGGACAGCCGCCGCATGGCAGTCAGCCTCAATACCCTGGACAACCGCAGCATGGCGGGCAGCCTCAGTATCCCGGACAACAGCCCTACGACCCGCAGCATGAAGAGTACGACGACCCATCGCAGTATGGCCAGCCGTATTCGCAACAACACGAGGACGACGGCAGCGCAGGACAATGGCAGCACGATCCCAGCCAAGCAGGTGCTGGTTCTTCCATGGCGATGCTAGGGTCTCAGGGCTCGATGCATCCCTCCCAGGGTGGCGCCATGGGCATGGGCATGGGCACGGGCATGGATGAGTCCGAACACTACTATCCCGATCATGAAGTGGACGATGGTACCATGGGAGGAACAATGACCGGTATGGATGCGGATAACGAACACTACGAAGGGTATCCGGGAGAGGGCGAGGAAGAGGACGAGGAGGGAATGGAAGGCTACGACCAGGGCTACGGACAGCAGCCTCAGGCCGTCTACTAGACATGAGGTATGATGGACTTGTTTTTCCATTTGTTGGGGGAAAGAGCATATGCACACTTTCTTTATTTTTTGGAAAGGATATCTCGTTTTCTATACGTTATACGTCCTTGTTGAGATTGTGTGTGTCTGGTTGTTTGTGCGACAGTTCTGAAGATTTTGTTGAAAAGAGGGCGTTGGGCAAGTAAATCATGACATCTATCTTCCATAATTTTTTGCACCTTCCATTGAAAAAGTTCCTTTCAGTTTGCCTGAGAGTTATAATTAGTGGGACAAGAAGCATAGTGGCATCCAAACCGATTGCTGCGGCCGTAATTGCCGCATTGCATTGCATTCGCGTTATATCCGGGCCACAATCGCGAGAAGGGACGTCATTCAGAAAAGGAACAACTATTGTGTGTGTGGTCGACGCGGCTAACCCGGCATCATGTTAAAGAGCCGGCAAGGTAGAAAGGAGAGTCAACAAATGGGTAATTAGTTCCAGGCAACCATCCTCCGCGATCCTGAAGCAGTCGATGCTTCAAATGCTCTTGGAATATCATGGCCATGCTGATCGCATGCCTTGAGTATGCGAGTTCACGATTCGCACGTCCTTTCGAGCGACGTTCAACTATCTATCCAGTTCCCGACTTCTATGGAGATCTGACCGTCGTCTATACTCGAGCTTATGAGCCCGCGCACAGATCGGGAACCAGACGCGCACCAGGTCCGACCAACCCATCTATGTATGATAGGAAGTTTTGAGCCGGTATCAAATCCATAAGGCCGAGACTCGGATTCGAGCTCCGAAGCACCTGTCCGCCCCATAGCACGCGCAGGTAGTAACACCCTTGCTTGGAGTACAGTTCAAACACAACCTCGGAGCCCATGCCTGGCCAGACCATGACATCGACCTGCAGAATGCTGAGCAGGCGTGACACAGACCCATCGTGAGCAACGTTGTGCATGTAGATGACGGAAGATGTGCCGTTCATCGCGTCGCGGATGTTCTGTGCAAGTTCGGCCACGTAGATGCCGTAGCTCGCGGTGGATGCGGGCAGCGACGACGGACTATCGCGGTAAATAAACGAGTACTCGTATTGGCCTCTCCGGAAGACAGCATCGGCATCCGCCTCGGTAATGCAATTCGACGAGTTGCCGATCTGGCACGGCAGGGGCTTTTGGTGGCACAAGCGAGCCGAGAGGTTGTCAAAGTAGTGGTCGAACCAGTTGTGCCAGGCGGGATCGCTGCTGTTGACGCCACTCACTGAATCAAGCTTTGCAAATAGCGACGCGGAGTCGTTCAGGTGCAGCGTCCAGTTAGCGGCATCACTTCCCACGCCGTAAGAGGCATAGAGGGTACTGGCAGCAGAGCATGTGTAGGCTGGTTCCAGGCTGTCGATACTATCGGGTTGAATGAGTACAGAAACAGGGACATCCTGGCGCCCTGAATACTCGCCCTCGACGACTTGACCCGCAACTTGCGAGGTGATGACGTTGTTTGTGACTCGGTATTTGACTCTGGACGAGTTATAGGATGAAGGCAGAAAGCCGAGCAAGTCATGATACACCCCGAAAAGATCGCGACCATGTTGACGAGAGTCGTTGAGTCCGGCGCCCGAGATTTGCGGAAACTGACAAGTTCCATTGAACCCCTCGGGAGCCAAAGGATTTGACGGAGACGTGTAGACTTGCCAATGGACCTGAGCAGAAGAGCTATCCGGTTCCGGGGCGCCATAGAAGAACAACGCCTCGTCGTCGCAATTCCAGGCATAAGATTCACGGGGGAAGGTATTGGACGCATAAGGGGTGCGCTTGTGGTGACGATGAATCTGAGAGGTCGTCAGCTTCCACGAAAAAAGGCTTTAGTCAGATGGCCCAACGCCTCAGCAGTACTTACAAGCTCGACATATTCCAATGTGTATTCCGGGTCGACGCTGGGGTACTCTTGACGTCGGGTATGCGGCATATTACACCAGTTGTACGTGCTGTAGGCAGTCGAAGCTGGGGTTATGGAAGAATTAAAGATGAATCCATTGATCCCCGTACCATTGACGACAAAAGTTAGATTGTTGATATTAGTAGCATTTGGAGCGTGCCACGTCAAGTCGATAGCGCTCGTAGACAAGGAAGAGCAGTTGGTCTGAGCGATGACCTGATGGGCCACTGGGCCGAGCAGCAGTACGTTGCGAAGTCGCGCAAACATGACGTTCTGATAGAGCTGGGACGTGAGAGTGTTGAAGGAGGTCAAGAGGTCGGTGATGAGGCCCGATAAGATGGGAACAGAATGCTGTGAGGATTGCATGATGGAGGGAACAGGGTCATGTTGTCGCTGGTTCCACAGGCCACCGACTCTTGCATGCGTTCTTCTGGTAGTGGACGCTTACTGCAGCATCATTGGTAGCCTTCTGCGCTGTTCGTTGAGTACGATGTTGCAGTCTCCTTCGTCTTGCGCATGTCGATTGGATTGGCTGACAGCGACAAGGGGTGGACAACGTGCATCAAAGGCGAGCAATGAGAGGCCTCATCGACCAGCCGCACAAATCAGGAATGGCCAGGCTGCCAGGTACCTAGATTGCTCGTTAGTCCTTAGCTTGAAGATGGCTGGACGGAGAATAGCAGCTTAGTACCGAGAATCGTGACATGATCCTGATCGATCTGCTTTACTTCGTGTCGGAAATAAGAAATGATTGTATGAACTTTGTAGAATTATTGGAGATGGTGAGGGTAAAGCCACCATTTCTGCCACCCAGCTTTTCCATCTTCCTCGGAACTTGCGCATGCTGGAGATTTCCTCATGGCCTGGTTGGTGCGCAGGTGCGGGGTAAAGCAAACAAACCCACCACTACCACGGCACTGCACGGGTATAGCATCCTCAATTCACTACCTCCGTATGGGTAACTGTGTCATATATCAGACGCTGATCGAGACAAACTGACTCTCTTCTCTCACTGACAATTTCTCATCGAACCCACAAGAGTCAGTTTGTCAGTTTGACCGCCATCAACCTTAACGACAACACCATCACCAGGCACGCAGGCAATATGTCATACCAAACCAATCTCTTCATCAATGGCGAGGTAAAGTCCCTCCACACTGTCATCCTCTTCTCCCTTTGAATTCGGTTCTAACTCGGCTGTAAACCCATTCAGTACGTTCCCTCCTCGTCCGGAGAGACCCTGTCCATCTACAACCCCAACGACGACACCCTAGTCACCGACAAAGTCCAAGTGGCTTCCGAGGCTGATGTCGACAAGGCTGTCGCTGCTGCCAAAGCCGCTTTCCCCGGCTGGTCCTCCACGCCCGGTGCAAAGCGAGGTGCCATCATGCTCAAGTTTGCTGATCTTCTCGACGCCAATGCCGAACGCCTTGGAAAACTCGAGTCGATATGTATGGGTCAACCCATCACTCTCGCTAAAGGTTTTGTCAATGGCCCAGCAGCGGTTTGGCGTTACTATGCTGGCTTCGCCGGCAAGATCGCTGGTGAAAGCTACCCTCCTGAAGGTGATGGCTCTTATAAGATCGTCGCCTATGAACCCCTAGGAGTCTGTGCCGGTATTGCTGCCTGGAACGGCACTCACGCCCTTGCTGCCTGGAAAATGGCCGCTGCTCTCGCTGCTGGAAACACCTTCGTCTTCAAGCCTTCGGAGAAGTCGCCACTCGGCGCAGCCCTCTATGGTGAATTGATCAAAGAAGCTGGATTTCCTCCTGGCGTGATCAACATCGTCATAGGTGCCGCCCCCGTGGGTGCCATACTGGCGTCTCATATGAGCATCGCCAAGATTGCTTTCACTGGCTCCGCCGCCGGTGGACGTGCAGTCCAGATTGCCGCTGCCAAATCCAATATGAAGCATGTCTCACTGGAATTGGGAGGCAAGTCTCCCGCTCTGATCTTCGACGATGCCGACCTGGACAATGCCCTCCTGCACAACTCAACGGGTTTTCTGCGGAATTCTGGACAGGTATGCTTTGCCTCGTCGAGAGTCTTGGTGCAGGAAGGTATTGCGCCAAAGTTCATCGAAGGCATCAAAAAGGCCTTCGAAGATGCTGCCAAGAAAATGGGAGATCCGTCTTTGGCCGAGACCGCATACGGGCCATTGGCCGACAAGAAGCAATTCGAACGCGTCATGGGATTCCTTAACGACGGGAAGGCTGAGGGTATCGAGGTCCTGACTGGAGGAGAGAGATTGGGCGACAAGGGCACATTCGTGAAACCTACCGTACTTCTCAATCCTGATGTCCGGAGCCGTGTCTTCACCGATGAGATCTTTGGACCTGTCATTGCCGTCAAGACCTTTAAGACGGAGGACGATGCTATCGCTCTGGCCAATGACACCACTTACGGTCTTGGATGTGCGTGACATACATCTCTCCCTGACCGAGTCGAATATGTGCTAACTTGCAGTAGCCTCTATCTTCACCTCCGATATTGCTCGAGCCCTGCGGGTAGCGTCCAAGATTGAGGCTGGAAATGTGGGAATTAACCAAGCATACAAGACAACTCCACAGACGCCTTTTGGTGGATACAAACAGTCAGGACAAGGAAGGGAGAGCGGGTATGAAGGTCTGAAGGGATATCTGCAAGCCAAGACCATCATCATCAACATGGAGCTGCCGCGGAAAGCATGAAACCCAGAGATCAACGCTTCATGGTATCAGTAGTACTGAGCAGGCAAGGACAAAATTCCAGGTATTGGGGAGCTGTGAGACACAGTTGGTATCTGTGTACTTCGTACCTTGTAGTCCTCAAGAATCAATCCCCACAATCAGTGGACTGATCCAGGGCAAGAAAACTTACCTGGTCCGTCGAGGCTATGCCGCGTTATGCCAGACTGAAACGAAGTGTCTTTCCAAGAGGCTGACCGATGCGTATTCCTCTGCTTCATTTTTTGAGAGGCCCCAAGATGTCTTCATTGGAGCCCTTGCCAATATAATGCATTGGACGTTTTTCATACATGACGATCAACGTCACGTGGATCGGTATACCCAAAGGTGTTACAAAAGGCCGTGCCTGAGACAATCGG